TGCGAGATCAGGACTGTATGGCGGATGGTGTAGGTGCTCCCAACCAAGAGTTGCGATATGGTTTTGCGTAGCCGTCGCCGAATGTGGTCTGGCATTGTCATCCAACAGCAGAACGCCAGATGTGAGTGGCCAAGCCGCTTTTTCCGAATCGCCTCTTTCAATTTCGACAGTCACAGTAGCGCGTAGCATTGATGGTTCCGACCTCCAAAAAGTCCAGCAACAAAACTCCTTGGGCGTCCCAGAAAACTGTGAGGAGCACTTTACCTGCACAGGGAGTTGTCTTGAACTTCTTTCGGACAGGTGATGACGGATGTTTCCACTCCATAGATGCGGCCTTCCGATTCTGGCGTGAAATGGTGGACCCACTTTTCATCCCCCCGTCACAATCCGAAACAGAAAGTCATTGCCATCTTCATGGTAATGCACGAGATGTTCCAGGCTGACCCCCATGCGTTGTTCCTTCCTGACATTTGCATTCACCACCTTCCTGACATTTGCATCTATAGTGGCCATGCACATCCGTCCAGCTCTCGGTATGTCCTCCACTTGCTGACGTCTATCACTGAATGTGCGACACCATCTCCGCACCATTTGCTTCGATATCACACTTGGCACATAGACTCCACGAAGCAGTTATGAATTTCTGTTCCTGATACTCCACGTGCCCATTCATAGCGGATAACCGCTCTCACTTCCTCCTTTGACCACGAATTCAAAACGCACCATTTAGAATATACGCACCAGCAAGAATTAGTCTTCAAATGATGCAGGGCTAAACAAGTAATATCTCTTTCTACACTGCGCCATTTCTGCATTTCACCTTTTTCTGCGCACCATCATAGACAGCACATGGGTGCATACCCAAACAGACATAAAAATTTCGGGAAAATTCAAATAATGAAATAAAAGAGGATGTGTGTGATTCACAGAAAAGAGAAAGTTGAAGTTACCAATAGAAACAACAAAAAGAAGTATATCTAAAAAAAGGTAATTAACAAAAAAAAATTTGGTTAATAAAAAATATTAATGTTAAAAAATTCTTGTTAAACCACGAGCGCGCGCATCGGGATTTTTTTAAGAAAAAATTGTAAATCTACAGAAAAAGTGTTACATCTGTGCCAATAGTAAATTTTAGGATAAAACTTTTAAAAAATATGCACAGTAAAATTTTTTAATTTCTGCAAATGCTTTTATGAAATAAAATTTCTTAATGGAATAAAAAATTGTATTATATTTTAGCATAGGGGAAGAAATACTGTATTTCTGTTAAGATTCTTTATTTTCTTCATTAGCACTACAGACACCGAGAAAAATGCAACAACAAATATTAGCAGTACTTTGCACAAAGTGTTCTGTGTTCCATAAACAAATATTTTTCACATTCTGCCCAGTGTGTTTTCATTTTTGTGTGCTTTTTTGCTGGGCGTCTTTATTTTTTCATCGTTCCCAATAATTTTTTTTTAATAAAGCAGTTTATGTCATTCTCACTTTTGTTTTTACAAAGACTCAGATATAAACAAACTCCAAATCGTTCAAAATAAACTCCTGCGTATTATCACGAACGCACGCTATTATGTCAGCAACAAGACAATCCATGAGGACCTCAAAATCGATACCATCGTGGTACATCTGCAAAAACTTAACGATAAATTCTTCAAAAATGGGCCAGGAGTGTAACTTCATGAATCATTTCAACATGTTTCATTATGAAGTTCTCACCGATGATCGATTTCTTCGACCTTTCACAGCATACATACTTAGTGGAAACGAAAATTTCCCCACCTAATAACAAATTAGTGGAAATTTTGAGTAATTTTAGTAATTTTAGTAACATAGTAATTTTACTCTTATTTTCTTTTACTTTACTCCAGAATACTGCTTTTCTTCAATATTCAAGAAGCACTTTTTAAAGTCAGCGCCTGGGAGAGTGACTTCCCACGTGACCTAAGAACTTGAGTTCTATGTTCAGTCCTGTTGTAACTTTCTGCATTTTTAGGACTCAAATTTCTGGTATTCCTTATATTAATCATATTGAAGAACATGGGGAAAATAGTGATTTTTCGCTATTGCAACCCATTATTTAATTATTTTACTCTTTCCATCAGTTTTGAACAAGTTTACGCTAAGCGAATCAGAATACCCTATTCTACTCACATGATATGGGACTTATTCTAAGTATGCTCTGGGATAGTCATCTTGAATTTGTATGTATGTATTTTGTGTTAACATTTGTTCTGCATTTATTCTGTTATTTTGTAACTCTTACTAAAATTATTGCATATTTGCTTTTCTGAAACATCTTCGACTGTTATAATGAAAACATGATTCTGTTTACACCCCCCCATCACGTTATCATGGACTCAGAACTTCAACTTACAGGACTGCTAGACTGTATTATGTGATGAAATTTGGTTTATTCCGAATGTTGTTACTCTGATGATTACTAGAAAAATTTTCCCTTTTATGTAATTATTTCTGCAACTTTGTACCTTTAATGTTTTCTTCAGCATTTTTAACCCGAAATCTCACAACGTATTAACGACTACTTCACACCTCACATGACAAGGTAGTCAGGCCCTCTCAACATCTGCAATCCTGACTTACGTCTCACTCATGCATTCTCCTACTTTCAGCGCTCTATAGCAACTAACTCAGACAGCCGGAACAAAACTTGCAAATCCTGCAAGTTAATCAGCGGCATATCCAGCAGAACTTGTAAAGACTTGGTATGATTCAATAGTAGCTGTGCAACTTCTGCAGTAATGGCCAAACACACAACAACAACAAAAAAAAAAAAGGGGGGGGTGTGCGCTTATGAAAGAAAGTCTTCAAATGGGCAAAACATTATCATTGGAAACAACACATATGATTCAGTATACATGGACTTATTTCAAAATGTAGGTATCTTGCTTTTATATCAGTTGTGCTTAAGGTTAGAATGATGTGCTTAATATCAACTACCTGACTATTGTTACAAGCTTTGATTCTTGCTTTGTAAAAATTATAGTCAGTTTGCACAACAACTATTCCACCTTTAGACATGCAAAGTAAGCATGACTAAAATATTATATCCCTTGAAAAATTAAGATTATTATGGATGTTACACTAATGTTCATATCTCCCATGTTCTTAATCTTCAACAAAAACACAGACTCGAGATTCTGGAATCATTTATATCATATAATTATTTGATTATGACAATATAAATACTATTTAACCTCACATTATATTTGATAAACACGAAAATTTTTGTGAACAAAAAGAAACTGTGACTTTTATTTCAAATTTAATTACTAGCTGTAATGGTAAATCTATTGATTATTAACAATTTCTTTAGATTGAATCACAGCAGATTCTTCTCATATATGAAATTCATATGGATTCATTTCCCTTACAATATCCTCTATGACAGGCAACTCTTATGTGGATGGTTGTATGTAATCAATCAAAATTAATTACTCACTATGTTGAGTATCTTATTCTCACCTTGAGAAGATTTTTTAACTAGAAAAACGAGATGTAATTTTTAAGCAGCTAAGTAAATAAAACCAAAGTAATAAGCTGATCTTTTTTGTAAAATTAAGTATGCTAGAGTTGTACGGAAAGTTGCTAGGAATGCAGAGAATTCAACAGAGTAAACAAATAATACAACAAATAAAGATCAATAATAAAGTAAAATAGTAAGTCACATATAAACATAAATTAAATAATTATACCAACAATTTCAATAAATTAATATAACATACGAAAGATGAATAAATTAATGATAGTAAGATATAGTACAAGGTTAAAAGAAATGTAAATATTCTGAACTGCATTTGAATTCATTTGAAAACACATAGCATAACTTTATTCAATAATTTCACAAAAAACATACCTATAAATAAAAATATTTAGAGACAAAATTTTTAAAAACATAAAACAGTGCACTAAAAATGGAAAATGGAAAAGTATAAATGCTTCTTTTGCATGAAATTTTACCAGTTACATTTTAATCACTAAAATCTGATCCAAAAATCTTTACTACTTGTAATCGAAAAATCGTACCTTAATCTTTGCTTTTCATATTCAGTATGTACGATACATTATGAGATAAGTTTTAAAGTCTCTGTTTGATACAGTAATTCAATTTCATAACAAAGAAACACTGAAGTTTAATCTGATTTGGGTTTGAAACATGGGCATGAGTACACATGAGCTGTAATTAAGATATCTTTCGAAACAGATATATTGAAGCAAGTGTCCAGCTGAATTTAAACATTGGTAACAAGGAAATGTTTCAGAAAATTGGTAACACGACAGTTGATATAGTATGACATAAATTTCTTTGGAATTGTTTGCAAAGAGAAAACTTCAATTTCAGATTACAGGCCAACAGCTTGAAAGGAATTTTGCATTATACAAATCGAAATGAATAACTAGTGCTGACATGTGATAAAAATTAAATTTTTACTGTTAAATAAAATTAAAATTCAACTGAAAAAATGAATTTCAATTTTGAAAGCTTCAGAAGTTGTTTCTCTCATACAGACTAACAGTACACATAAGAAGTAGAATTTGAAATTTTGCAATTAATCTACTACAGGATGATAGAAACCTATTTTTCATATTAAAAACATAAAATAACACTTGTGAAACATATTTAAAATAGAAATCATATTATGTTTAAAATTATTAATTTCATTTAGAAAACTTTTATCAAGATTTTTGCATTCTAACATATTCTGCATTCTATCATCCGTTTTGAAAAATAAAAGAATACATCCCATATTTTTATAGTAAAATATGGGACTTTAATATTTATCATGATTAAAATTGGCAATAATATATAGCTTTCACATTCATTTTGCGCTGCTTCACCTCCCCCCCCCAAAGTTCATTCTATTCAATCATACTGCGTATCATTGCACCATATATGATTTCTGCAATTGTTATACTGCTTAATATTCATTAATAATAAGAAAAAATAATTATTAAAAATGTGAAAAAGAGTTTCTTACATTTCTTTCTTTAAATTCTTCAATAACACATGCTGCTTCAGACATTTCTTCAATACTCATGCCTGCTACTCCTAGAAGATAATTTTTAAAACATATAGCCAAACAAAACACAAATTTACACTAGTTACAACATGCAAAGCAACAGAAATTAAAACAGACAGTTTAGTATACTATAACTTAAATTTAATGTGTAAAAATATTCTCACATGTAGCTACATATTGTCTTAACTCTATAATTAAATATTGAATTTAAAATAATCTGAATTTCACATCTTTTCATATCACCCGGAAGTTAAATTTCTGCAAAATACGTGCAATTTTATAGCTAACTGAAAGACTTTCGGGTTGTTTTCTCTATTATCAATAAAATTCCTAGTTCCATGCTTAAGGACTCCATTTCAGATATGAATTCCTGGGGTATTTACAGGATTCTTTGCCAATGTTGTTTAATTTACATTGGTCAAAAAGAGGCTTAAAGTTTTATGTTAAAGAATATGATGCATATGTTAGGAAAAAGTAAACACAGAAATCCGCTGTTGCTCAGCATTGTTGGAATGAAAATCACATTTCCCATTTTTCTGCTGCCAAAATTATTCAAAAAACATCCTCCATTGGTGAATTAGATTTTTTAGAAGTGTTTCACATAAAAAAATAATAATAATAATTAAAAAAAACATTGTAGTTAACGACCCCAATTGCAATCCATCTTTACCTTCAGTCTTTAAAGATATTTTGTTTTAGTATTCCTTCTTTCATCAACAGATGGTGGCAATAGCTTAACCTTCTGCCCAACTTTTCTTATCTCTATCCTTATCTTATCTTTCTTCACCCCTTTATTTGGTTCATTTGCACTTAAGCAGCTGAAGAAGGTAGTTCAAAAAGCTATCGAACCTAGTACTGCAAAATATTTTTAACAATTTATGCTGACTTTTAATGTTGGACTTTGTTTTTGATTGTTATTCAGCGAGATATTTAAACTAAATTTTCTAAATGATTTAAAGAAGATTTTTGCAGAATGAAAGGTTGGCAGAAATAATAAGTTAGAATATTGACTTTGAATTTAATCAATGCATTAATTTTATACCTTAAAAATCTGAATAAAAAAGAGTGACTATTCAAAGTAGTACTGCATCTTTCATTAGCATGTTGATTGCCATGTTATATTATATGCCACCAACACTGCTACAACATGCACCAACTGTTTCTGATTGTAGGAGTTTAGAACAACTAAAACATTTCAAGGCATGCATTTAGTTGAAAATCTTCCATGAAGAATGAAGTATCTAAGAAAGCACGTAAGATTCAATTTTTTTTTTTTTTTTTTTCAAAAAATGTCTTCTTTAGTGATGAATGGTTAAAAATTTTTTTGTATTAAAACTGTTGTTCTAATTTTTCAGAATGTCAAAAAGAAAAATGCAAGCATTATTTTAATGAATCATGTATCATGTAGCAGTGAAGAAAAAATATGTTATAAGTTTTACAAAAATTTAGATAGTAGGGATGAGGAACAATGAAAATTTTTCAGAAAGAGAAGTATAAATAGAATTACATCATCAGATTCTGATACTTATAAATACAGAGCAGAAGAAAATATATGATGTATCTAAAGAAAGCATTCTAAGTATTTCATTTATCTGCTACTGTATGTCTAAACAGCGATTTTTTTTAATCTAAAATTGTGAATAACAGTTTAGGAAATAATAATGGAGATTAATTATGTGCAATGATATAACAGCAATATCAAATCTATAAAAATTTCGTGACTTGATATTTCACTACTACTATAAGCCATAATATTATACAATGATATTTAAATATATCACATAGTTCTTAAAATTTTTTAACTAGACAGACATACTTAACACTTTTACAACTTACCATCCGATGTAATACGTATTTTACATAAAAAGGTTTCATGATCCCTTTTTTCTTTCATAAGCACTAGCTCTGAACAAAAAGGGCACTCATAAAAAACAGATGAACGTGATGCAATGCGATCTGTCATAACAGAACTTTCTACTTCCTCTTTATAATTTGGGAATTTTATTAATTCAGGGAAAATCTAAGATAAGAATGATAAAAATGAAGAAAGTATTACCATGTGTCTTCTAGCAGCACAAATAAATATAACTCTATATCAAATGAAAAGTACTTAAACTTCATAAATGCAAAATAATACTATATATGCATAAAAATGTTTTTACCCAATGAATAATGGGCAAGGACTCTCAGCAAAATACTTGAACATACTAAAGCAAACTATTAAAGAAGGATATATGCTAATGAAGTGTAGCAACTAGTACAGTTTCAGCTAAATACTTATACATTACAAAGTCCGAGATCCGGACTCGTCGGGACTTCGCCGATTTCAGATTTTTCCGATATTAGATCATCAGTTTAAATCTAGTAAGATGGCATGTAGAAATTATAAAATTAAAAATATGAAATCGAGATATAAGAAATAATGAAGCATTTATGATCTAAAGGGTATCAAAATTTACAAAAAAATTCTTAATATTTATTTCCTTTCTTTATTAAATATTTCTTTCAATGCAAGTTGTTTAAGTTGCTTCACTTTTTATGCTAATACTTTCGCTTTAATTCTGTACATACGAGACATAATTTTTGTACAAGCATAGAGTTCCATTGTTCAAGTCCTGTAATTGATGTGTCGAGAATTCCAACTAACTTGTCAATGGAAATTTTTTCATTTTCACTAACTTCTCTGTCACCTTCATCATTATCGATAGCAGTATTTTCTGGATCTAGAACCATACTGCAGATTCGCTATCCATTAATTCATTGATGATTGGGGCATTGTCAAAACTTCCATTATATCATCTTCATTTATTACCGCTTCTCCACATTTTTTTACAAAATCCCTTAATTGGAAAATTTCATCTTAGGTTTGCAATATCCGAAAACCTTCAAATTCGCGGCTATCATCTTCATCATCCTTTACCGTGAAATATAGTAGCTGGCCATAAATTATGCCAATCATTTTTTAAAGCATCTGGAAACACATTCTCCCACGATTTTGCTATACTCTACATAGCAGATTTTATGCTAAAATATTCAAAAATTCCTGAATAGTCTTGCCATCACTCAAGAAATGTAACATGGATTTTTTAAAATGCTGCTTTGTATTTGCATTTCAGAGTGCGCACTACTCCGATATCCATAGTATGAATGATAGATGTACAATTTAGAGAAAAGCATAATACGGATACATTACCTTAAACTAAAACTTTAAGTGACGTATGAGCCGAAACCAAGCAAACCAGCTGAATTCAAATGTTGCCGAACATAGGGTATAAAATGATTTTCAAACCAATCATTTATTTATGCGTGTGTGATCAATGTTCCTTTATTTGCCCGAGGTTTAATGGGGAAAATCTTTACTCCTTTAAATGCTCGAGATCATGTATTTTTTCCGATTACGAAAAATTTACATTCCTGCAGCATTTTCGCATGCCAAAATTGTTAGCTCGCTTTGGAATCTTTGACACTAGTTGTAGCCTTTTCTGTAGAGGCTGCCAAGGTATTTTGCGGTACATATTGCCAGAAAAGAGTAGTTTCATCAGTGCTGTAAATTTGGTCTGGAGATAAATTTTCACTATTAATGAGTTCAATGAATTCATCAGGAAATAGTTCAGCAGCTTCAGTATCAGCTGGAGCTTTTTCACCTGAAATTTTCAATTGCCTTATATCATGGTGATTTTTAAATTTGGTTAACCAATCTGTCAAATATGTGCTCTCAGTTTTTAAGTTCATTTCTTCGAGAAATATTTTGGCTTGAGCCATTAGCATAGGACTCACCAATGGCACCGCCCTCACTGCGACCTGTCTGACCCATTCAGTCATCACTTTGTCATGATCGTCACTTCTAGCATAACGAATAATTTTTCTGTTATTCATTGTGAATAGGGTATCGAAATCCCCCCCCAAAAAAGTTCCTTTTTCTGTTTTCTTATGTCATATTATTTCCTAATCAACATTGACTTTCCAATGCCATAGTCCTTGCGTAATTTTGAGACGGATATACCTTTATACAATTTTTGCAACACTGCAAAAAATGGAGCAACCCACTTTTTATTTAATGCACATCGAAACATGCTTTTGCTTTGTAGATCCTGTTTCAACTTCATAGTTTCACTTCGTAGATCCTGAATTACTCTCTCGAATTAGAAACTCTTTGGCATAATCAAAAGTTCAAACATTAATTTTCATAAAACAGCTGTTATAATAACAGCCTGCAAAGCGTAATAAACTGGATCAAATCAGAAAGTTAAGGAGCAGCACTATCAGCTATATTTAATGAAATTCCTTGGAATCAGTAAAGTATAATTTTAGCCCAGCTTAAAATGTATGCTATACATTCTTAGCTTTGTATAATAAGATTGTCAACGAACAACAAGCTGTTTCGCTAGATTTTTTTATTCCTTCTACCACAAACTGAGACAATGAAGCCTAAATTGTATTATTTTAGTTGTTTGTTATACTGACGTCTATTTCTTTTGCATGCTTAAAGCTTATCAGAGTCTTGAATAAATAAATTCCTACATATACTTCAGGCTTATCAAGAGCAGGCACTAGATATCTTACCGCCTGATGCAATCTTTCCGGGTCCTAAATTCTGCTACCAAGTGCCTCCCTAAGTTCTGAATTTTTGCCACCCCTAAATTTAGGGTCCCAGTGCTTTTCCTAAATTCTAAAAATTTTGTCATCCCTTAATTTTGCTGCTCCATGCTTCCCTAAATTCTGCCGCACGGAGCAGCCATACGAGCTCTGGTGCTGGTTCTGGGTTTATGTGAAGAAAAAATCAGCTATTCATAATTCACAAATCACTAAATAATTCAAATATTACTTTTGGCCTATGAGAATCATTAAAAAAATCTAATTTTAGCATATGGAAAGAAATTTCTGCTAAAATTTTCCTTGTCAACACTTGGCGGATTTAACTTAAATCCATAATCATTGCCAAGCGCAATGTTAACATAAAAGGTTACCAAGCACTTTGTTTCTCAATTACTAATATAATAAAAAATGTTCAGGCATTGCTGCATGAGTCATTACTCAAGTTGTCATGTGTTGACGAACAAGAAGAGATAGATGAAAGCAAAATATAATAAATAATGATTCACCAGGTTAGCGCCAGATGTATAAAATACTAGTAGGTGTAAAATCAACAATGTTTCTATGTAGAATGTTTCGGTTTGAGATGTATGCCAAGCAGGAAAAATTATTAATCACACAAATTTACATTAAAATGATTGTTTCTCGAATAATGAGGTACTTTACTTAGTGTCAGAGTGAAATTAAGAATCAGGACGTGTAATGGCAGACCGCACATTCAGTTGATCAATGTTAAACGAATTTTGCATATTGCACATGCGCATACGAGAATTTGGCGCAATTTTAAAAGAAGATAAATACAGTACAGTACAAAGTTCCCAATCCGGACTCATCAGGACTTCGGTGATTCTGGATTAGAGGTTTTCCCAGATTATAAATCATCCAAGTTAAATCTGGTAAGATGGCATGCAGAAATTATACAATTAAAAATATGAAACCGTAATTTATGAAATAAAGAGCAATTATGATCTAAAGGGTATCAAAATTTACAAAAAAAAAAAAGGTTAATATTTATTTGTTTACTTTATTAAACATTTCTTTCAATGTAAGTTGTTTAAGTTGCTTCGTTTTTTGTGCTAATACTTTCTCTTTAATTCTCTCTTCTAGAAACAGACATAATTTCTTGTTCAGTTATAAAGTTCCACTGTTCAAATCCTGTAATTGCTATGTCGAGAATACCGAGTAACTTGTCAATCGAAATTTTTTTATTTTCAATAACCTCTGTCATTTTCTTCACTATCAGAAGTGCGCATGTGTAAACGCTTTATTGGCTTTATGCGGATGCAAGCATTAAATGTACTTGCTTAAATGCTTTATGCTTTGCATAAGTTTGTGGCTTTGAGATCCGGACTATAGATCATTCCGGATAATGGACGTCCAGATTACAGACTTTGTACTGTATATGGTTGGTATTGTGTTATCTGGGTGTAAACATTTCGTGGTTTTAAAACTTGTTAGGTTGTAAGCTGCTTCATTACTTAAGAGTGTAAATATCGATTGTAAACTACGCAAATTTTCGTTTAAGAAGGATTAAAAAACAGGAAACATTACAAGATATATTAACTTGAATGCATACTGATTATACTTTTGAGGAATAAAATCAATTGAGTATTTACCATATGTTCCATTCTTATATACTTTACAAATTAAGGAATAAATACACTGTAGGTTAGGTTAAGGTTATTTAATTACGGCAAAGCCTAGATGGCTACCTGTCTAAGGGAAGGGATGCTTTCGTGGAGGACTTTCTAAGGGGAAACTGGCTCGTATACATGTTACACATAGGGAAAACCACAAAAACACTCATGCAGCCAGCCCGTTCGGGGGATTCGAACCTCGGACCGAACTACCAGCGTTTACCGCTCAGCCACTGGTGGGCCCAAAAAGTCCAGTGTAAATTACTGAATTAAAGCCAAAGAAATTATTATAAATAACTAATATTAAATGTAATGTTTATGAACAAAATAAACTGAAAAGAAATGAAACAGAAGCAAATGTAATAAATACAAACAAATTTCCGTAGACCTGCAATTGTAAACAGTCGATAGATGAGGAACAGGCTTGTGTAGGGTTTCTTATGCTTGGTCACCCACGGTGCATTTCCTCCCATGCCAACAGTGTACCATTGAGCATGCGCAGTTCATTAACACTGATCAACGCAATGTGCAGTTTGCCATTACGCTATTGGGACTCTCCACATATTTTATTATGGAGGGGGAGAAATAAAATGTCCATGCGTAAAAAGTTCAAAACCCTTTAAAAAAAGTTGTTGGTAGCTTTGAGGTCCAGATTTTAGATCGTTCCGGATATTGGATGTTTGGATCTCGGACATTGTACTGTATCTATGCGAGCTGTAATATTAATAACAAGCTTCCAAGAAATGCACCTGTATAAAAAATGCCTCCAAATGAAGGTGTCTGACATAAATCTTTAAGAGTTCGTGCTATGAAAGATCTTTAGTATTACATATAATAAATTAGTTAATAGATGGTGAGTTGAGACACAACATCTATCACCTGTTCTTATTAAAAACAAATATAATACTTATAGAAAAGAAAATTTAGCATCATATTAAAATTTCTATTCACAAAAGTAAAATGTATGATATCTCATAAAAGTTATTATTTTAAAAATTACTCTACTAGCATTCATTCAAAGTTCTATCTAGTTAAGCATTTTGTTATGACACACTAGTCAAGGTTTACTTTAAGAAGAATGCCCTTACAATGGATCTCAGAAGAACCAGATTAAATTCATATTATACATGATAAAAACCACAAAACATTAATGCAATACATCTAGTCCACAATTACCAATAAAAACTATACAGAAAACACAATATGACTTACTATTTATAGCTTGACCCTATAAAAGCTTTCTTTGGCTGCAGTATATTAAACCTCAACCTGCTCATTTCACAGTCAAAAATCCAAGTTTAGTCATTCACAGTCAAAAATCCAAGTTTAGTCATAAGTAAGATCTTGTTAAGAAAGTCATATCTGATCTCTAATTAAAAATAAAAACTAATGTTCATTCTGAGTGATGCTTAAGAATCATGTCAAACTTATCAATGATCATCCTGAAGTTCAATATACCTTACAGAATTCTTTAACATTTGCTTCAACCCTTCAGCAGTTACTAGATCAAGGAATTCTTTCTTCCCATTCAATATCTGTTAATTCGTAAATCTGTAATGCGAGAATGTTCACTTGTGTTCACTGAGTGTGTAAACTGTAATGCCAGCTGAGTTTGTTCATGACAATAAAAGGGTTAAAACACAAAGTATCATACTCATCCATTATATCTGATCTTGTATATGCTTCTCTGGCCATGCTGTTTTGAAACCCAACAGAATGACTGAAAAATTTTATAAGGTTTTACAGAACAGTTTATATTCATTTATTACACCTCTGACTTCTACCATGAAAGTTTTTTCACAAAAGAAAACAAAAAGCTTCAGTGATTTAAACAAGTAATAATTGGAGGAAGCAATATATGGAATTTTAGGCAGATGAATAGCAACTGTCCATTACAATACTTTTATTGAATGCCTCTTGCAGCATGTGATTTATCATTATTTCCTAGATAATAAGATTAGATCTATTAATCAAGAGAGGTTGCATAGAGGTTAAAACCCTTTTAAATTATTCAGCTGAGGTAGCAGATGTCTTTATTAAGGGTTTGATTATTTTCTAACAGTGCAAAATAAACTATACCTCTGATACTCCACCACATGCAGAGAAAAAAAACATTTTTCGATGCAAATTCTGGTTTTCCTGAGAGACTTTATATTGGACTTGACCAATAATTTTTTTGAGAAATTCATAAAGAATAATTTTCTCATCTGCAATCCCAATATATATTAAGAAAAGCCTAATTTCATTTTCTGTGAGCAGAGTAATGCCAATCAATACTCATCTAATGATTTTCAGCTGTAAATTCAAGCGGAATTCAAACAGCATGAGAAACATTTTTTATTCATTTTAAGAATCTATTGTTGTGCACTGCATATAGTGAAACTTTCTAATTATTTCTTTACTGTTAATATTGGATTTAACAACATCTTCAACCTCCTTTAGTTGTTTACTTCTTGGTTTCGCTTCAAGACTGAAATTTTTTTCTTTGAAACATCTTAAAACTCCCACAGCACTGATATTCATTAATGGTGTAGGGTATACTGAAAAAGTTTTCATACTGGCTTCTACAGAATTTCCATGAAAGTGAAAATCGTACAGTATGAAATAAAAAACACGCAGTTAACTTATGAAAACATCTACCTATGAAGAAAATTAATGAAATGAGATTCCAGTACAGATGGGAAAACAGTATGGTTCCAAGATTACAATAATCTGCAAAAATCTGGAATGAAAGATCACTTTATTACACTTTTGTGTGCTTGACTATTGGCATGCTAAAATCCTGAGTAATCCTAATAATCCATGAAAATATGCATTATGTCAAAACTTTTATGATTAGCAATTCATAAACAATGTCTATAAGAATTTGTGATATTTGGAGAGACCCATATTGAATTATTTCAAAAGGCATATCAGAATTTGTTTTAAAAAGTTTAAACTATATTTGAAGTACGGTCAATCTTTAATTTTTCTTCATCACCCTGACTTATGAAGGCATTTTTTAACACTAGAAGTGATAAACAGCATTTTGCTTTTAAAAACATCAATAAATATTAAATAGCACTTAATGCATATTGTATTATTAAAAGTAATTTAGAAATATTTTAGAAAAACTTACAAATGACCTAGAAGATGAAGCTTTATTTTCTTCATTTTCAGAGATGCTGTCTTCACAGTTTCTCATGAAAACTGCACAAGAGAGAATTTCATAAGTTAGTCAACACATAAGATATTGATAATTAAGTTTATCTGAATGACAGTAGTATATAATGAATTACACACGATAGAAAAAATGTGTAGGAAAATACACTGCTGGCAATTAAAATTGCACCACCATGATGGAAAGCAAATACAAAAAAGATATTTATTGCACGTAAATAGTATGGCATGAAGACAAAATAATTAAATTTGTAAGCATTTTAGAGGTTTACAGGGGTGTGAAATTAGTAAGAAACAGCTGCCACACCTGGCAGTTAAAACGGCCATTACCCCATCAGGCATGGTGTCAAACTTGGCTTGGATGACAGAAATGGGCAACTCATTCCATGCTGCTTCAAGTCTACAACAAACTTTATCAACCATATTAGATGGAGAGGGGTGGAAGGCCAGTCACTGACCCATGAACAGATGTTTTCAATGCGTAGCAGATCTGGAGAACATGCAGGCCAGAGCAGAAATAGAATACCCTGTGTATCAAGGAAGGTCAGAACACAACGTGCAACAGTGATCTTGCATTAGCTTGTTGAAACATGGTGTTTGGGGGCCTCAAAGATAGGGCAAAACCACTAGATGTAAGATGTCAGAAATGTATCCATCTGCGTTCAAATTACCGTTGATCCAAACTAGAGATGTGCGTGTCACATGCCCAAACCATCATACCAGGTGGAGAGCCCCTATACCAGCGGTGCCCAACCTTGTGCTCACAAGCACAAGTGTGCTCGCTGATCATTTTGTATGTGCTCGCCAGCCCGATTAGGTACTACGAACAAAAAATATTTTAAAAATAACCATTCATTTATATTTCTTAATTGTTAAAATATGGTAAGCATTTATAGTCTTGCAAGATGTTATAAAATAATTGATTGCTGACTTATGAACTTGATAGCAAACATGGAATCTTATTGCTACATTCTGATGTTTAGATGGCTCAGCAGGGAAAAAGTACTTCAATGGTTTGTAGAATTTCTTTCGCCAATAAAGCAATTTTTGGAATCCGGAAACGAAAGTTATAAAGAGTTGGACGATAATAATCGGTTATCCGATCTGTATTTTCTCATGGATATAACAGCTAAACTGAACAAACCGAACGAAGATCTCCAGGGAAAAGAAAAAACCCTTTTTCAATTGACTAGGACTGTAACTGCTTTTCAGATAAAGTTAAATTTGTGTATAAATCAGATGAAAGAAAAAAATTTCACCCATTTTTCAGAATTTATCAAGCCATATTAATAACCACAAGGCAATTGAAACAGAGAAATACTCGGAAAACCTAAATGCACTGAAAAATAATTTTGAATTCCACTTCTCTGATTTCCATAAAGTTCAACCAATATTATTATTAATCTCAAACCCACTTGCCGAAATTAATATTTGAGATGTATCACATATGATTGGAAATATGGTTAAGAAAAATGTTGATGTTTTGGAAATGTGCTCACCATAGGCCAAAATGTGCTCACGATAGGCCAACATGTGCTCACGAGAGACCAAAGGCTGGGCATCACTGCCCTATACTAATATCGAAAGGAAGCAGGCGACGTGCGGTCTCCTCGGACACTCCAGATATATCTATGGGCATTACAATACTGCACATAGAACCAGGACTTGTTTGAAAAGGCAACATTGTGCCACTCCTGAACCCAGGTTTGTCATTTGACACTCCAGAGTCACCGTCTCTTTCTGTGCTGCATTGTCAAGTGAAGCCAAGTAATGGTAACCCTGCTGATAGTCCATGCTACTGCAAATGTAGACGCACCTTATGAGCTGAACTGGTGTGCTGCAAACCTGCCCATTTCCTGACTAATTGTCTGTGATGTGGTCACATGGCTTTGCAGGGCTGACCTCACAATATGTCTGTTCTCTCTGGCATTAGTCATGAGAGAGCGTTGAGATCCTGCATTCCATTCAGTATGATCCTCAGCAATCTACTGATATCCATATTCACATGACAGTGGTTGGATGTCAACCAGTGAGACCGGCGATATCATGGAACGATAGTCTACACTTTCGATAGGCAATGCCCCTGCCTCTATCGAGTTTCAAAAACTTGCTAGTAAGCATTTCCTCTTCTTATTCGAGGCATGACATGATATTTGAGCAAACTCCATCCTTACAAAGCACTTTTTGAATGAGCAATCCAAAACTATTCTTTTATGCAGTGATTCAGATGTTGTTTCTCCCTCCTGCATCGTCTAAATGTGCTGAAATACTAACTTTTTCTTCCTTTCATGTGATTTTGACATATGTCAGATCATTCTTTCCTAGTGTTGCAATTTTAATGACCAGCAGTGTAGTTAAGGAAAAAATTTGAACACATATTGATAAAAAAATGTGGGATATTTGTTCTCAAGTATGATTTATTCATGTAAAGAAAGTTTCTGTATTCAAAGGCATAAAGAAGTCCCTTTTCATCACATTACATCCTAAGAAAAAATTACACTGGAGCTTAAATGAGAATGAAATATTTAACTACAGTAAATAAACTATAATACAGCAATTCACATTTGATTGGCAGATCTGATAGACATTATTATAAATGAAAAAAAAATCAAGAATGGGAATTATGTAAGTTTACTCATAGCAAAATTTATTATGAAAATATCAATATTTGACAACTTTGACTGTTCCATCCATGGTTTAACTGTTGAAGGAGAGAAAGCTGGTTATTTAGTATTTTTATAATTTTTTCACCATAAATTTTGAATACCAAAAAGATTACAAATATGACACAGTTTACCTTAAAAAGTTCTGCTTGAGAATGCCTCTTCTGAGGAAGATAACTCTTATGCTCTTAATCAAGTTTTTAAGTACCCTCTGTTGGTCATTTTATAACATTTCAGACTTTTACATTTCGGCTTCCCATTTCTACAATACTGTACATAAGTTGCCTTTCAATAATATAATATTTAATTTAATTAACAGTATCACACTTTCAAGCTTCAAAACTGAATACCATCCATACACTGAATATGTTTTGAAAAAAAAATACTTGAAATCTTGTTTAGAACAACAAATTCATAAGAAACAAATGTTTGAAATAATAGAGGAAAAATAGAAAATTTATTCACTGCAAACTGACATTAAAAAAAGCATACTAACTGCATTTTTTTTACTTAACCTATTTTGCTCAAAAATTGAGATTTAATCCTGATTATTTAAATTAATTCTCCTTCATACTTCCTAGTCCCTTAAATTGCTTCAAGAAACTGTTACTTTATTAACATAAAAATTTTACATGCACATTAAAATAAAAGGGGATATAAGACATAATGCCTTTTGCCTAGAGTCATGCATAAAAAAATATATCGTTTCTTAAAAGATAAGTTTCAAGCAAACAAAAAAGGAAGGGATTAGGAAAGAGAAAAACAACAAATACAACAGCACACAAGCCAGAAAGAGAAAAATAAGAAATACAGTAGTATAAAGCTAGAAAGAGAAAAATAACAAATACAACACACAAGCCAAATCCCATTATAACTGGCACAGTCTACTAATTCTCCAATCTATTGTAGGATAAACCATAATGTTATTCAAAACTATAATTCTAAATTTAAATCTTTAGCCACCTTAATATAAAAATTATATGAAGTTTTAAACTTAAGCCATAATCTGTACTGTTCCTTATTCATGTAGAGTTATAAACAGTAATATGAGATAAAATGTTAAAGCCTACAATTTGTCAACAACTTCTCATTTATATTCTAATACAAACATTAAAAATATATATCTGTAATAATGCTATAATTCTATGGGCTCTTTAAAAAAACATTTCAAAAAAAAAAAAAAAAAAAAAAAGAAGATGAAGGAAAGGAGAGATAAATATAATTAAAAACTTCTTTATAAAACTGATTTTAAGCATTAGAGAATGCACAATTCATATAATTAAACTGAATGATTAGTGATATAATTTATAATTAACTTCTTAAATAAAAATTTGGATGGATTTAAATTAAACAAAATAAAATTGTATCGGATCTTAAATTATAAACTAAGCTTTTCAGAGGCTGAAATAACTCCAAATTCACAGGCATAACAATGGCATGGAATTTTATCATATTCTAAATGGTTGGAAGAATTGACATTTTCTAACATTTTAATACCTTCTATACTATTGTTTGCTCTTTACTGTTAAAAGAAAATAATGTATATTCTTTGGGAAGAACTTATAAAATTATTCAATAAAATTTTAAACTAATTTTTTCTCAAAGTTTAAAATATTTTTCATCTATAAACACATTTTTTTAAACAATAATTTTTGAAGATTTATGTTTTTGGTACAAACTGATATATTTACAGAAATCTTGAAAATAATGCTGGGTTAAGTCACCTTCCAATTTAAAGCATCATATGCTTAAACTCGTTTATTTCTGAATAGCTGCATGTCTCACAAATAATAATAAAAAAGCTGCTACTAGAAATATGAAAACACAGAAAATGTTTCTAAAAAAATAAATGTTTTATTGAAAAAAAATTATACACCAGAAATGGCATATCAGAATAAAAATCATCTTCTTATTTAAAGACTCCTAGGAAGAACTTAAGAACAGGCACATCCAACAAGTTATAATTTTAACACTAATAGAACTGCATAGTAAAAGTCATGAGCAGAAACAAATCCATGAGAAACCTCACAACATAATAACATCGTTGGGATTTTTTTTTAATCTGGCAAATGGACATTTTCCTCCTCATAAATTTCAAATTTCTTTTTTCTTATAAAATGCATCTTTTCATTTTTATTCTGATATGCCATTTCTGGTGTATAATTTTTTTTCAATAAAACATTTATTTTTTTAGAAACATTTTCTGTGTTTTCATATTTCTAGTAGCAGCTTTTTTATTATTATTTGTGAGACATGCAGCTATTCAGAAATAAACGAGTTTAAGCATATGATGCTTTAAATTGGAAGGTGACTTAACCCAGCATTATTTTCAAGATTTCTGTAAATATTATCAGTTTGTACCAAAAACATAAATCTTCAAAATTATTGTTTAAAAAAATGTGTTTATAGATGAAAAATATTTTAAACTTTGAGAAAAAATTAGTTTAAAATTTTTATTGAATAATTTTATAAATTCTTCCCAAAGAATATACATTATTTTCTTTTAACAGTAAAGAGCAAACAATAGTATAGAAGGTATTAAAATGTTAGAAAATGTCAATTCTTCCAACCATTTAGAATATGATAAAATTCCATGCCATTGTTATGCCTGTGAATTTGGAGTTATTTCAGCCTCTGAAAAGCTTAGTTTATAATTTAAGATCCGATACAATTTTATTTTGTTAAGAAATTTTCTGACTAATTGCTCTCGTATGAAGAGTCACTAATTAATTGAATATATAAACAATAATAAAAATAAAAATAAAAATGAAAAGATGCATTTTATAAGAAAAAAGAAATTTGAAATTTATGAGGAGGAAAATGTCCATTTGCCAGATTAAAAAAAAATCCCAACGATCAGTGAAATGACAATTAAATAGACAGTGTGTTATATTCATGTTTATTCAAACAGTTGTGTGGTATGCCCATGTGTGAATTGACGCATATATCTAAAAAATATACCAACCACATAAAAATTCTACAGAACTTTCAAAGAGAATGTGGATAATCGGAAAGTATCACATTTAACAAATAAATTCCTTTATTTTCAGCTTATTTACATACATTGTTCAATTTAAATGTACACTGAATATATAAGGGTTCATAATTTTATGCACATTTTGTTTGCGAGGTGGTGAACACTGTCACTATCATGCCTCTGATTACTGTTGTGTAAAAACTTCATTTATAATAACCTATCTATTCCAAACCAAGTGTTTTTTTCCCACATATGAGTGAGTTCATTAAAATGGATATGTCTGAGGCCAAAATTACCAAACATGGAGCTCTGAAAACCTGAATCTATTTATTCTGCTCTGCCTTTTGTGAAAATTTTCATTCAGAGCACCACGTCAAAGAAACAAATTGTGGGTTTCAACCTATGATTCTTTGAAACTACAATGGATGCTGATACTACCGAGAATGCTATTTGATAGTGTATTATCCAACAACACAGTACAAAATATTATACAGTAGATTTCATCATGAAAATGTTAAAAAAGGTATTAGGAACAGAATCATATCAAAAGGCCTGCCCACAGAGATATCCAACACTTGCCAGTCTGAACTACTTTGTACAGTGATGCATTAAACAAACCATGTTCAATAACAATATGCACACCTCGGAAGAGTTAATTCTGAACATCACTGCTGTCATCCAGAGTACAGATAATAGTTTCATAATACTCTCAGGCAGAGCTTAAATTGCAGCATAACCTGGCTCCAATACTTCTCCAATTTTTTAGATAAATTGTAATTCTAGCTGAAGTGCATCAGGGCCCTATATATAAGAGGGCTCTGGCATTTCTTTTAACTAAACCACAATTTCAGCAGAAAATTATTTTGATCTAAAAACTTTATTTTTAAAAATAAAACTTACAAAAATGAATTAATAATAAAAAAAATTTGAAAGGTTTCAGATTTTAAATTACATCCAAAGGGGTGTTTTTTAACATTTTGTGTGTTTTTTCAACCTTTATTTATTAAATATCATATTCTACATACTCAAACTATAAAATTCAGTTCAACAGCAAAATCAAAAATTAATTTTAAAATGAGCATATCTTTAGAATTTCTGATACACAGTCTCGCACGCTGAGGATAAAAATGTTTTTTCTTCCATGTGGTGTTGCCATTGCTCGCTTTGAAATCGTTAAATTTTTCAATTGAAAATTCGTTAAAGTGTTACAAAATATGAAATCGATCATAAAACAAATTCCAAATTTGGGCTTCCAGATGCCCATATTTGGGTGGAAACGTACGTTATTCAAAATTGGATGGCTCTAGGTACCGTTGTGTTATCACAATGTGAGAAACATACACACACATTTATGCAGATTCTTCATAATTTAATTTCTTTAAATACAGTATAGGGTGAAAATATTTGGTGGCAACAATTTAAAAAGTGAATCGAACATTTATAATTTTAACATATAGAAAATAAATATGCAATTTTGAACCCAATGACTGAAAATGTCAGTGACAGTAACAACAGTGGCATAACTAAGAAGGCAAGGGGGCACATCTCTTCCCAGGCTACAGCATCTAGGAGGCATTGATATTATGAAATTTTTGGAATGTTTTCCAAGCTTCGCAAACGGGAGGTGACATGAAATCTTCGGTTATCCCCAGGCACTGAAAACCCTAGCTACAATTCTGAGTAACAACAATTTTTAATTGTACTATTTAATTTATTTAATCTACATAAATCTGATTTAAAAACTAATATAAAGAAGAAACTTGATTCAATATAATGTTTTCATAGGCAGAAGGCGAAAACGATTCTAATTTCTTTTATTTCAAATATTACCTGATTCCTTCTGAAGTTCTGGGCACAATCTTAAGATATGTTCTTTTAATTTATTTTCTGGCACATCACTGCCACATCGAGAACACCTGCCATTCGCACTAGCACAACATGGAATATGTACATTCATATCAACCCAAGGTATACGTTGTTTACAAATATGACATTCTCCTAAATACTTAGATGGGCCCTAAAAATATCAAGACATCATAACAATAAATTACATTAATGAAAAAACTAAATCTCAAAAATAAAATCATTATTTATTCATACAATAATTTACTAAATTTGTTAGTAATACACTCATGGCCAAATTTATCTTTATATAACTAAACATAATGATATTCCATGAAATAACCAATCGATCTAATCCATTTTTTCGGAGAATATGTGAACACAAATCTAATTAGCATTATCCAATTAAAAGTGATCAAATGGTTTCTGACATGCAAATCACAGCCTCACCTACTGTTAATGATGTGAAGTTTGGTTTCAGTTCATGATAGCAAAGAAGAATATTAAACTTTAAAACATACAGAACATATTCAGAGAAGGTGGGTATAGGATTTACTATCTTAACTCTCCACGTGGAGAAGGTTTTGAAACTGAAACCTTAAAGTTTTATAAAAGGCCATGAGTAAGTGATACTTTTTTAATTCCAAAACGACTCTCCCACTTTGTATTTTGATTTATATTTTTTATCCAAGTGTGTACTATCTTAATTGTCCGGACATGTTTCAAGATGCATATACATGGATTCAGAAGTATCATCCCTCTTCATCAGGAACAAAGAAATCTGCATAGATATAATCTGTATAGATATGAAATATCTAACATACTGAATTGTGAATTTACTTATTTAGGCCATTTTTCTGTAATTATTATCAATGTAATTCATGACAGAATAAATTTAGGGTGCAGTTATACAGCAAGAGCTGCTTGTTTGGAAATTTATAGTCCTGCTTTTGGAGAAACTGCATCTGTCATTATATCTGAAGCTTGCTTCATATTTTGGATGAAAATATTTATTAAGTGTATCTTGTGACTTCTTTACATTTGTATTGTTAAGCATATGTCACTGAAAGCTAAACACTTTGTTTTATCTAATATAAGGAGGACTAAAACTGAAAGTGTGATGTTTTTTAAAATGGCTCAATCAAGTATGTTAAATAAAAATAAATAAATAAAAAAAAAACAGTTACAATTAAATAAAAAATCTAATGTGGACACCATGACTTCCTTGTACACCTACTAAATTATTTTTACTGCACTTCATTTAAATTTATTTCAAATGAAAGTGAGATACAGTCTTCTAATTCAAAATGCCTTTCAGGCATTGCCGATAGCAATAAAAAAGAGAGGTGCATAATTAGCTATTATAGCAATCCCATATATAAAATTTCAGCATTCTATAGCTAATTTTTTCCTAAGTTATGTGAGATACATACATACGAAAAGACATCAGGCCAATACTAGTCAAAAGTCCCAAATACAAAATTTCCACATTTTATAGCAAACCGTTTTTGACTTATGATATATACTTACATACAGATATTGTGATAGAGCTAATAAAAATGGATATTTTCACTGAAATCTGGAAACCAAAATATTTTCACGGCTACAGTACTTCTTTTAACTTTTTTATTTACTTTATAAAACATCTTAAAAAAATAAAATTAATTTGAATAATTTTTTAAAAATTTTTTTATGGAAGAAAGGAAAGGAAAATGATCTCCTAGGTATAATGAAAGAGATGCATGAATCACTAATCTAAAAAAATTACATTATCTGTTACACAACTCCTTTTATTTGTATTAGTATGACTGTAAAATAAACAAGGTTTTGTCTCTCAAATTAAAAGCTTATCTATTATTCGTGTTGTGTTATGACAAATACACAATTACAGATGTGGGTAGATTATACATCTTTGTACTACAGTACCTCCAGAGTCACTAAATGGTGTTTTCTAGTTCTCATCAGCTACAGCAGAGTTTACAAATAATCTTAGAAAAAAGAAAAAGGGTTCCTCTTAACAAGTTCAACTTCAAATTTGGGAGGGTTATACAGCTGTATTCTGTGTTCTGTTTTTTTACTAAGAGCTATCTATTAAGCTCTGTAAGCTAGCAACTGTGTAATTAAAAAAACAGTAATGCTTCGTTTATGCAGACTGGTTATTCTTTTTAGACCAAATAAAATCAGGCTCATTAATTTAAGCTTATATTCTTTAGACTAAAATTTCATAAATAATAATATATTATGCTTATTTTTTATTAAATTATTAATTAAATAAAAGTATATGACAATTAAACTGACATACAACGTTAACAAATATGCAGTCTATAAACATCTGTGCAGAAGAAATTATACACTATGTGCAGGTCTTTTGTCTTTATTCTCTCTGAATTGCTGCCTAGCCAAAACAATGGTGCCTTTTATAGAAAGATTTTAATAAAAGAGAAATAGTTAAGCATTTTAAAGCACAATAATAAAAAATAACTTCTTTAATTTTAGAAAAACAAAAATTAAAATAAGATAATTAATTTAATTTTAAAAGCAAGCACAAAAAAAATAAATTTCACTGTTTTATTTTAGTTGAAATTAAAATATGCGCCATATTAGTTTGTTAATTCAGAAAAAAAAATTTAATACCGTATTTCTTCACATATTCAAATCTTAGCTTTTTAGTGCGAGGTTCTCAAATTTTTGTTAATAGTTACATAATTTTTCCTTTTCTCAATGTGTTCAGAGAATGAGCTTCCCTAAATTTTAAAATTTGTTTGTCCACATAGTGATTGCTTTCATCTTATTAACAGAAAGACATTTGTAAATTACCTGCTAAGGTCACACCAAAACGTTTTCTTTAAACTCTCTTTCTTCTAACTGTTGAACATGAAAGTTTAATACAAAAACCAATGCAGTACACTGAAGCAAACATAAACTGACATTCAGTCTATGATTTTGTTGAATTATTTGGGTCAAGATTCAAGTTACAGGGAAGGAGAAAAGAAGATATCTTATTAGATATTGTAATATTAATATGTATTCTTATTGGAATGTGGGTTTCTTTTAAAGAAATAAGCTAGTGATAGTTACATGTTGTTTATCCCTGACTATCTTTAACTATGCTCTTACTGTAATTGTTTCATTAAATCATTTGCATAGGTTTCCCCTCTCAATTTTTAGACGTTTCACTTAGTAAAAAAAATGGAGGCAAAATAAGGTTGGAAAAAGTTTCCCCCTCTCCTACCACATATACCTTTACTGAAACAAAATGCATAGAATGAAAAAATAAAGGTCCTCATTTACATTACATTAAATTTATATTTGTTCGTAGCAATTTTGTCCTCAATAAAATGTTAAAATTGGAAAATCAATAATAACTAACACATAACAGCATGGACTATACTTTTTTTTTTTTTTTTTTTTCCAAATTTATTCTAGATGTTTTAAAAAAGTCACAGAAAACTGAACTTAGAATTCTATACTAGATTTAAAAAAGAAAAAAAAAGGAATCTTCAGCATAGCTTTAAAATTATATTTTATGTTTAAAAAAAGGTACACTATTTTAATAATTCTATAATTAAATAAGAAAGTTTGGAAAATTATAAATCAAATGATGCAAATAAACAAATGATAAATAAATTTCAGCAAACCTTTCTACAAATTTGTGAATGCATATTCATTTCTTTAATGGAAATATCCTGCTCACAGAATTGGCATTTCTCTGTTCTTGATCCACAATGTAATAAATGATCTTCAAGTTCAGTCAGAGTCACTTCAGTTTTGCAATATTCACAACATACAAACTTTTCAATGTTTTGATCCTAAGTAATAGAAAACATTAAAAAATTCATTTTAATGCTACTTTTACATAAGAAAGCATTTATTCCCTGTAACTATGTACTCATAAAATATATAAGTATTTTGCAATTTGAAAAATAGAAGCACAATGGATTGCATTGCTTTTATCCTCATTCACAAATTTAAATTAGTGAGAGCAGAGAAATTTGTTAAGTCAAGCAATTTTTTTTTATTTATGCATCTGAAGATGTATCAAAGTATATAGAAATTCATGAAAAATATTTTTAACAATTTAATATTAACATTCAAACATGATTTACTATCTACTTTTTTAATTTAATATAAACAATTTTTATTTATTTAATCATTTTTATTTTAATGCATACATTACAGAATATGTTTGTGCTTGTTTGTAATAAAAATTATTTTTATTTATGTATAGTTAAAAAAAGTTCTCAGTTACTGTTTGAATTTTTTTAATGAATAGAAATTGCTTTCAGTTCAATTTGTAAGTATATCAAAATTGTTTTTGCAACATTATTAAATCTGAGAAATCGGTGAATTGCATTCATGGCTTCTAAAGCTTCTTTGTATGATGGAATGTCAAGTTCAGATTCTGAACATTTTCTTTATCAGGAAAGGGCTACACTGTACTAAAAATTTCTTCTCATTCATTATTCTTGCAGTATCATTACTAACAGTCATAACATTCCAATTCTGCACCTGAATTTTCTAAATCAATGAAAATTGTTTCCTCTAGCTCAATGTTGAAAGAAAATACCAAATCCTACGTGCAAAATGCAACTTTGTGGTGGTTTCTGTGACAGAATATAAAATCTATTATTTGTATAGCATCTAGCAATACAATATCATCATCTGACATTATCAAGCACATTCTCCATAAACTTTTATATCTACTCCTGTTTAAAATAAAAATGAATGCTTAGAAATTCTTAAACTGTGACCAATGAGCAAAATGTATATTGGGCAGTAATACGGAGGTTGCATTTACAGTAATATAAAGGTTGTATTTACAATGAAAAATATTCTGTTGTTAGGCCCTATTTTCAAAAATTATGAAAAATAAATAATTATGTAGATTAATTATACATACAAAATTATTAATCATTCCATTAGAATTAGTAAATGTATGAAAAGCAATTTTAAAAATTATAATTATTCATTTATCAAGTTCAAAACTCAACTTCTACACATATCATATAAACAAAGCCAATTTTTACCATAATTTTACTTTATTGATGTCACACACAGACAAAAAAAAATAATTTTTAAATAAAACTGTAACAAATTAATAATGGATAATTTGAAATTTTGACAGAAGTAACACATATCAGATCAGTATACCACAGCTAATTTAAATTACTTCTAAAAGATTCTTATCTAAGTTTTTGCAATCTGTTTACAGGAAAATTTATATTTTAAAACTCTAGTACTTTATACATTCCGCCACCAAAAAAAATATATATATATATGCACCCAAAAAACTCGAGCCACAATCACGAAACTCAGAATGTAATTCGGTAAGTGATATGCAAATGATTTAAATTTTGACGTGAATGAGACAAGTGTTAAGTGTGCTATGCACATATGAGATACGCAGCTGGAAGAGTTTAAAAAAGCATGACTGCTCATGCCATAGAGCCATTCAAACTAATCTATCAATTTGGATGGATAGTACTGTGACAAGAGATGCCTCTGAGACATAATCGGCAGCAGTATGAACAGTTGTTGAACTTTAAGAACGGATGTATAGTAGGCTCAGAGAAGCAAGGTTGGTCAAACAGGCATATCAGCCACCACCTCAATCAGAGCGATATGGCAGTTGGTCGGTGTTGGTGACAATGGATCACGAAAGGGATATTCTACCATCGCATAGGGTCAGGGCACTGCAGAAACACAAATAAGCAAGAGGATCGCAAATCATAAGGGCAGCCATTCTCCCACCAACAGTGTCACTAGCATTGATTCGATGCCATTTACCATCTTCCAGGCATCCGGTGGTATGAAGGGAAACCATTAGAAGATGATTGGCCAATGCTGGTGTCTGCTGCCAACGTCCAATAAGACACCTACCACTGACCTCACATCAGAGGCAGTGTTAACTGGATTTCTGGCCAAATTCGGACAAGCTGAAGTGTGACCGACTGTAGGTATGGGATCTTCAGCGATGAATCCCGATTCAGTTTCAGTGCTGATAACTGAACTGAACTAATGATCAACGATACAATACAGTATTTGTTATCAAGTGGCATATGGTGATTACATAAGATGTGACAGTGTGAGGGAGCAATTTGTTGGGACACATGATCATCTCTAGTCATCCTTCTAGGCATTATGTTGGCTCACAGTTTCTTTGATGACATTTTAATGCCAGTTGTATTGCCTTATGCTATTAAGTCGCCAAGGTGCCACTTATAAGCAAGACAACACTTGTCCACAAACTGTGAAACTCTCCCAACAATGTCTTCAATGATATGAGGTACTCCCGTGACGTGCCAGGTCAGACCTCTCATCAATAGAGCACATTTGGGACATACTTGGAAGGGAACTGCAGCCATCCCAGAATACTGGGGAATTAACTGCCCAGCTGTAAAAATTATGGCATGATCATCTACAGGGGTTCATACATTACCTACTTGATTCAATGCCATGCCATGTTTTGGCTTGAATAGCTACCAGATGTGGCTATACTAAATGATTTATAACATTTTTGTCATAACTTCTTAATAAAGTGATCTTTTGTACTGAATTTTTAATAATTTCTTTATCTCCTCATACATTACATATATGCTATGTTTAGTAATAGTAGTGTGTTTCCTTCTGGACGCATATATTATATATATATTGTGACAGAGTGTATATATTTTCAATTTCAGCGAGAAGAAGAATGGCAAACCCTCATATCTGTCCCTTCCTCAGAGAAATTCTTTTTCAAAATAGGGGCAGAGCTATTCAAATTCATATTATTACTAATACGGAACCCAAGGTTTATGCAAATGACAGGCACAGTCTCTTCCACGATAAAATTTATATAACTAATCTGATATTAGAGCAAGACAGGTTAGATAAGTCACAATAACAGCAGAAATTGAATAAATATATAATATTTGATCATACATAATTAATTACATATTGCAATGATAAAAATGAAATTGAAAAATAAGAAATTAAAAAACATAATGAAGTACTTCAGATAAATAGCTCATTTCTTTAGTTTAAAAAAATTAGGCTACAACTATCTTACTTTTCTACAAAAGCAATCAGTAATTTCTTGAAAAATATATAACAAGGGTTTTCAACTAGTAGTACGCAAGAGAAAAATAGGTGGTATGCAAAGAAGCAAAGTATTTTTAACTATTAAATTCAAAAATTAAAACCCCAACATCTTGATTTTTTCTCTAACACTCGTAAATTTATGCGATCTGAGCTTTGTGCAACAGTGGTGGTGGTAGTAGTACTTTGTAGTGGTGGTACTAAAGGTTTACAGTTTTTGCTTAGATGGTACATGTTAGTCAAAAGGTTGAGAATCGCTGATCTATAAGAAATGAATTCAGGTGCTGCTAGTTATGCAGTTAAGTAATATCTATGACTATGACATAGCTGCTAATTTGAATTTAAATCTGCAATAATTAATTCTTACAATTAAAGTTACACAGCTTCTTAAGGAAATAATTTCCAAAATGTCTGATGAAATAATCTTCAAATTTCATACCTTTCAAATATTTAATTTAAATTGAAAAATACGAGGGCCATCCAGGAAGTAGATTACGTTTCCGTCTGTGTCCGCTAGGGGCGGGGCTAGCGCGGCCATCTTGGGGTCAGAGCGTTGCGCAGCTCAGTCTGCATCTAGCCGTGCTAGTGAGAGGTTCGTGCTGTGCTCCGTTCAGATACTGTGACGGTTTGAAATGTCTGCGTTAATTGAAAATCCCGCGAGCTGCGAGGTGCGCTCAGTAATAAGGTTTCTGACTGCAAAAAACTGTAAACCGATAGAAATCTATCGGCAGCTTCGTGAAGTGTGTATGGGGACAACATTATCACTGAAGGTGGAGTGCGTCAGTGGGTCATAAGATTTCAAAATGGCCGAACCAATGTTCACGACGAAGATCGAAGTGGGAGACCCAGCATAGTGACCGCCGAACTTCTCGAAAAAAGTCGATGCTAAAGTCCGTGAAAATCGAAATTTCACAATAACGGAACTTTCTTTGAGTTTTTCCACAAATTTCGCGAAGTTTGTTGCACGAAATCATCAGCGAAAAGCTTGGTTACCACAAGTTTTGTGCAAGATGGATTCCAAAAATCTTGACAGAGGACCACAAAAATCAGCGAATGGCTGCAGCGTTGAACTTTTTGGATGCTTACCATAAGGATGGTGACTCTTTACTCGATCGCATCGTTACTGGTGACGAAACATGGGTGAAATATGTGAACTGTGAAACGAAATTGCAATCAATGCAGTGGGGGCACACAAGTTCTCCCCAAAAACCCAAGAAATGCATGCAAACAATGTCGGCAAGGAAGATGATGGCGACTGTTTTTTGGGACAGAAAAGGTGTAATTTTGGTGGACTTCCTGGAAAGAGGCACTACAATAAACTCTCAAAGGTATTGCCAAACTCTCCCAAAAACTCAGAAGAGCAATTCAAAACAAGCGCAGAGGAATGTTGAGCTCTAAGATCTTGTTGATTCACGACAACGCCCGGCCCCACACGGCAAATGTCACTCGTAAAGTTCTTGAATCTTTTTAAGTGGGAGTTGTTTCCTCATCCGCCGTACAGTCCCGACCTGGCACCGAGCGACTTCCACCTATTCCCAGCAATGAAGAAGTGGCTGGCTATGCAGCGTTTTGATGACGACGCACAGCTGCAAGAAGAGGTAACGAAGTGGTTGAAGGCGCAGGCGGCCGAATTTTTCGACGAAGGAATTTCCAAGCTCGTACATCGCTACGATAAATGCCTTAATTTGTATGGTGACTATGTAGAAAAGTAGTATTTGAGTGTGGCTTTCATCTGTATATAATAAAATTTGTTTCCTATACTTTGTTTATTTTTTTATTCCAAAACGTAATCTACTTTCTGGATAGCCCTCGTAACTGGATATTCTCGTGGCCCAAAAAACAGCTATCACTCAAAGCATTTCATTGTGGAAACCTTTTGTTGATCAATTAAGGGTGAATTTTATTTAAAATTTCAGACAATATTTGCAGCTCATAATAGTCTTTTCTTCAGTCCATAAGAGCTGTCTTATTTAAGGCCATGTCAATGAATCAGATATGGCCCTAAATAGCTAGATATGATTAGAAAAGCTCCCTGACCAATATATTATGAGGGATGTTCAAATGAAAAGGTATGAAATGTCGTAAAAAATAAGCCACTTGAAATTCGAATACGTCTATTTAGCATAATGTAGTAAGACATCCAAGGACACGAATGTAGTGTCTGGCAGGGTTGCACACATAAAAATAATCTGGTTGAAATTAGAATATGCCACTTTGGCATAATGTAGTGAGACATCTACGGACGCGAATATAGTGTCCAGTGGTGCTGCACGCATGCACGGGTGTCCGCACATGATGCAGGAGAGAAGCAGCCAGTTGTGTATTTCTTACGGTTGATGTGGAAGTGCATGTGAGGACATTGTGGCATTCACATTGCAAAATTCTATGATTGTATAGCAAGGAGGTGACGTTTTTTCTGACTGTGGAAGTGATTACACCGTCCAATATTGGCCATATATGGGGGAGATCGTGTGTCCAACAAGTCAGTGAGAAAGTGAAGTGCCAGTTTTTGGAAGGCCTGAAGTGTCTGAGTGATACCCGAGACCACACCAGGCAAACACAGTAATACTGGGCGACCTCATCAAAAAGGTAAAAGACTGAAGAGATATCTCAAGAGGACTCTTCAAATCAGATGACGAACTGAAGGACACAATGGAAGACTGGCTTCTGTCATAGTTGCAGGAATTCTGGGAAGAGGGAATCCTTTGGCTTGTAAAACAGTGGGATAGTTGTGCTCAGGCCTCTGGTAATTACTTGTGAATAAAGACTTCAATATATCCACAGTGTCATTCCATACCTTTTCATGTGAACACTCCTAATACATAACTGATTTACCCATTTTATGTAAAACTCATAACTAGATAAGGACATAACAGATACATTACTATATCCACTTACTTGAACTGTTTTTCTATTTTCGAAAACTCTTGCCATATTTTCAATGACAGCATCACTCTTAGGAAACTGTTCATTGGTCATACTGCTACTCATATCATATGCACTTCTCTCTGTTCTAAGGTAATGCTAAGAGGAATCAAATGCAATAAAATTTTAAAAAAACATTAATACATGCTAAAAGTGTCAAAATAAACATATGAAAAATAAGATACGGAAATCTAACAATACTTGAATTACTAAAAATATTAATTTTCCAGAATAACAGATATTAATTTCATATTAAAAATATACACGTTTAATAATAAAAATGTTGAAATGTGTCTGCTTACAAATTCAGAATATACTGATTTTATAATCATGAAATGATTTTTCAAATAGGTGAGCTTAAAATTAAAAGACAGTTTATAAGAACTTATATTCACTTAATGGTTACATTTAATTGTTTTTGAAAGCAGATCATTCCTGTTTTTTCTTTTTTGGCACTAATGTATTAAAAATGCTTCTTATTTCCTCAAAATTCAGTGCTTCTCCTGTTCTTTTTGTTTTGCAAAAAAATATATTTTCAGAAGCATACCAGTGTTTAATGATGTCCTTGGTATGAACGATGTGCCTTCGTAATACAGCTTTATTTATAGAATTTCTCAGGAGAATTAATTAATTTATAGTTTTTAACACTACAATGGCTAGTCTTCTTAATACTCAAGGACAAATGCCACAGTTATTTCACATCAGTAATCAAATCTTTTAAAATCTTTGTCATAATTTCTAAGATTTTTAATAATGTTTTATTTTACTCAGATTGTGCTATAATACTTTATAGCACAATCTGAGACACTGAACAGATTACCTTAAATCATTAAAGTTAACTCAAAATATAGATACTCAAAATATAGATTTATAATAATTTTGTGTGCGTTTTAACAATATTCTAACAGATACTAATTTAATAAATATACATTTAAAAAATTTTAATTAACAACATACAAGCACTTTTAGTATATTTTCTATAAGCCATTATGTGCATGAAATGTTTTTGGTACACTCTTCTGTTTACCATTTTTTATGCAATAGAGAATTTCCCGGGTTTGGTTTAGATATACAATGCGTAATGTTCATAACATCTATATTACTCCATAATTTGAATGCACTTCCTTCAATAATTACTGTAATTTGTTTCCTCGAAATACCACAAATTTGCAAATGATCCAAATGCTTATTGCTTTAAGATCTGAGACATAGTTCAAGGAATGGGCTCAGCATCATTTTGGTTCGTTTAGATGATTTATGAAATGCATCCCTAAGCATGATATACACTGGTGTGCAAAAATTAAGGACGAAGTCGAAAAATTAGCATATCAGCTGAACGAAGAGGCAGAGCGGACAGAAAGACCAATCAGGAGATTGATGTACGGTAGCACATGCGCAGATATGCAGGTAGACGTAATTGGGGAGTGTCTGAGTAGTATAAAGCATATTGTTGGTGTAAGATCAGTATTTCTGGCAAAGAGATTGCACACCGTATAGCAGTTAAAATCACACCGAGTTGCTGTCTCAGCGAGAAATGGCGAATAATCAATCTGTTAGACGACATCTGTATGCTTTTACCCGAGGTCGAATCATTGGAAAGTTGGAGGAAGGCTGCAGTGTGACAAGTGTGGCTGCAGAGTTCGGAATTGCTCACAGCATCCTTTCACGACTTTGGAGACAATTTCAAACTACAGGAACAGCTATCCGGGGGTTTAGTACTGGTCGTCCACGAGGAACCACACCCACAGATGACAGGTACATTGCCTTACAGGCCAGAAGAAACAGGCGGCAGACAGCGGGACAAATCGCTAGACACACGACACAGGCGACTGGACAATCGATATCGCGTTTTACCGTGGCCAGAAGACTGCATGGTGGTGGTCTGTTTGCATGACACCCTGTACGGTGTGTACCTCTAATGCCTGCCCATCGGAGAAGGCATTCTCTTGGTGCCAGGAACACCAGAATTGGAGAGACAATGAATGGGGACGAGTACTCTTTACAGATGAGAGCAGATTCAGTCTGAGTAGCGATTCTCATCGCATACTCATCTGGAGAGAGCGGGGAAGCCGCAATCATCCCTTGAACATCATTGAAAGGGACTATGGAGGTGGCGGAGTTCTCGTTTGGGGAGGCATCATGCTTGGTAGTCGTATAGACCTTCACATCTTCGACGCAGGTTCAGTCAACAGGACCCGTTATTGTAACGAGATTCTTCTTCCATATGTGCATCTTTTTAGAGGAGCTATGGGTCCGCAGTTCCTTTTCATGGATGACAATGCACCATGTCATCGCACAGTAACTGCCGAACAGCTCTTAGAGAGTGAGGATATTGAACGTATGGATTGGCTGGCAAGATCTCCGGATCTCAATCCCGTCGAGCATGTATGGGATCTTTTAGGCAGACGCTTGGCAGCTCGTACCTTACCACCAGTAACGATTCCGGAGCTTCGATTGGCGCTGCAAGACGAATGGGCAGCAATGCCTCAACAACTCATTGACACCCTCATTCTCAGCATGGGCAGACGCTGTGAAACCTGCCTAGCAGTCAGGGGAGATCATATTCCCTATTAAAGACCGGATGTTTCTTGCTGGACACCCATCACAGGGATGTTTCGGCCTTCAGTCGCATTGCGCTCCATGCTACTTTTTCAATAAAGCTTCTTTTTATTCCTCTGATTTCTCTTTTAGTAAGTGTTGCTTACATTACTCATGTCCTTACGTATTGGGGATCTTAGGGTATTAACTGTGTTGATTTGGAAAGCTTTTGTACAAAGTTATATTGAAAAAACCGTCTCGTCCTTAATTTTTGCACACCAGTGTACCTTCATGGAGGGCTTTCTAACAGAAACTGGCTTGTATTGATGTTACAGATCGCTAAAACCATAAAGACTCCCATTCTTTTTATGCTTAAAACATAACAATTATGATAGATTTCATTTCGTTATGATCTACTGCAACATTTAACTTAATTGTAAACAATATAACTTTTTTTCAACTTCTTACTTGATATAGTATTCAGTGCAATGCTGGTATTTTCATGGTTATATACATCTAGCAAATAAATAAATTCCTTCCAACTTTCCAAATGATCCATAATTTTTCTTTTAAATACAATACAAAGTCTTTAATCCGGACGTCCATAATCCAGAATGATCTATAATCCGGACCTCAAAGCTACAAACTTTCTGCGCATGCGTAGTGTTTACACATGTGCATAATATGTTTATGCATGTGCGTTTAATGTATAACGGATGGTATAAGCCAGGCTAAAATTATCTAATTATCTATTTCAGTTAATGTTGCAGACTGCGTTGTTCCTTAATCTTCTAATTGAATCCGGGTTATTATTTTTTGCAGACTGCAAGAGCAATTTTATAAAAAGTACGCTTGAACTTTCGATTATGTCAGAAAGAGTTTCCGATTCTGGAGCTGCCGAAGGATCTACAAAGTGAAAGCATATTCCGATGTCCATGAAACAAAATGGGGAATTGCTGCAAAAAATGGATAAAAGCATGAAGAAAATGACAGAGAAGTTAGTGAAAATGAAAAATTTCGATTGATAAGTTAGTCGGTATTCTCGGCACAGCAATTACAGGAACAGCGGAACTTTGTAACTGAACAAGAAATTATGTCTGTTTATAGAATTAAAGAGAAAGTATTAGCACATAAAACAAAGCAACTTAAACAACTTACATTGAAAGAAATGCTTACTAAAGTAAACAAATAAATATTAAGCTCTTTTTTGTAAATTTTGATACTATTTAGATCATAAGGTGCTACTTTGGTAGACGGTTGCACGGATTTTTGGCGATTTACGTTGGCACAATTGTTGGTGCGGTTTTTACAGTTGTCAGCCATCTTGAAAAATGCTGTTTTTAAGTATTTCACGCATAGTAAAGTATTCGAAACTTAAAAAAAATAAATATCATTAAAAATAATAGATTAATTTTTTGTTGAAAACGTTGTTTTTTAAGATGGCTGGCAAATGTAAATAAATACATTTACTAAGAGTATAAAATGCTAAAGTAAGGTTAAATTATTACTTTCATATAACAGAATAAAAACACCGCTATAAAAACATTGCACCAACATTTAATTGGAATAAAATAATTTTTAAATTGAATATTGAATTGAAAACATTATACCAACGTTTAAAAGAATTAAAATTTCAATTACTTAAATTCAAATTCTTCAAAATAAGTTTAAAGGATATAATTATTTAATATTAAAACATATATGGCAATAAATATCTTAGGAATTTTTGAAAACAGTGTATTAATTTTTTAATAAAAATTGTATTCAATTATAAAATAAAAGAAAAATACGTACTTACATTTTTTTAAAGTATTACCTGTCGTATATTGATAAGTACCAGGAAAAAAAACGATCTTCATCTGTGATCCTCATCTCACACACTTCATTGAAGAAGCAATTAGCGAGGTTTCCTCCAAAAATTTAAAATAAATTTCATGTGACCCTTGTAACAATAAATAAATCTTTGATTAGGAAAGCCAAGTTGGCCAAAATAAGGTCTCAAATGGCAATTTTCTTATTCTGATACCAATAATTCTTGGTAATTACCAATAACAACATTCATCTTCGAAACAGACACATCCATTTGCTTTGAAATCTGAAGAATTCGAAGAGATAATAATAAAATTTTAAAATGGCGCGGTAATGCACAAATATTCAGTATACAATCAGGGAGCTGATTACATCACGCATAGAATTAAAATTATTTAAATATCACGCATGGAATTAAAATGATTTAAATAATCATTCATAATAAAATCATATTTAAAAAATTGCAAAATTAAATTGTGTTTTAATATTTAACAGCCATAAATAATGTTTAAAACATTAGATTAAATTTATAGATATTAAAACCAATTACTTTTAAAATAATGCGACGTCATTCATTACATCATTCACAACATAAAATTCCATAAATATAAATACAATTTTTATTTCAAATAAAAATGCAAAATTAAATTCATTTTTATTATTTAGATTCATTTTTATTTTTTATTATTTAAATTAGAATTCATTTTTATTATTATAATATTTAAAACACGGAATTTATGCATAATAAAACGCATTATTTTTAAAATAAAATGACAACAAAATATCGGTTACCATAAGCAATGGGTTTACCATAAGTCGTATCGCTCGCCAAAATCCATGCAACCATCTACCAAAGTAGCACCGATCATAATTGCTCTTTATTTCATAAATTATGGTTTCATATTTTTAATTTTATAATTTCTGCATGCCATCTTACCAGATTTAAATTGATGATCTATAATGCGGAAAAACCCCTAATCCGGAATCGCCGAAGTCCCGATGAGTTCGGATTAAAGACTTTATACTGTACACACTTTTTACAGGTAAAGTTAGTCACTAATATTAAGGTTGTGCAAAAATTATCAACTATCATTTCATCACCTTTATTTTTATTTAGTTTGAAAAGTCTTTGTTCTACACGTTCTGCCGAGTTTCCTCTTTCATTTACTGATTCATTTTCACCTAAATGAACAGGTGAAATATGAATTTTGTTTCTTAAATCTGAACTGACTTGAAATTTTTAATCAGATTTATCTGTATGAAACTATATTATTACATGCACGTGGATTCGTAATGAATTGAATGCACACAGAGCCGACAACAGCTTGATAAAATTTCTTTTACTAAAAGAAATGCAGTTTACAGTTCTGGAACTTTCCACAAAAGTACTCATACAGTCTCCTCAGTGTAGCAGAGAACAATCAGTAGTTATCACTTCAAACTACTGAGAACATTAAACACAATGTAATGTAAAGTGCATCTAAATAGGAAAGCTGGCACGAAGCTCTTTAAATGTTATCAAGTCAATGCTGAACTAAAAACTGAGAAATGATGCTCTCTCTGGTCTTATATAGTTTTATTCGGCTGCCAAGGAATTTCCATTATCTTCCAATTTTGAAAAATTACTGGAAAGCATATATGGTTAAAGTTACATATAAGGACCAAATATAGTTACAGTTATATACAGGGATCAATTACAATTTTTATATCAATGAGACAGTACCAATGAGAGTTATACAAGTGACAGGAAGCAGAGACCAAGCAACCTAAGGTTAGCAGGAATTGTCTCCACTCTCCTATCAGGAATTTATTATAAAGAATAATTTCGTCACAGCCAAGAATACATAAATGACATATATTTTCCAGGTACATAATGAACAGTTTGGTTTCTTTAGCACTTTTTCTATTCTAATTATTATTTTTATCTTTATTGGTGCCTTCACTCTGTTTGACAAATGTCTTGACACATAATTGTAAGAGTATTTGATTGTATTGCAGATGTTCTTAAATGATGCACAGTTTTTTATAGTAAATTCATTCATACTGCAGATTGGCTGGGGCAAATGAGTGCCAGTTTTAAGTGTTACATATAATAGCTATAATAAGAGTTATGCAGGGAGAAGACCAAAATGTCGCCAAACGGTTTGTAAGTTTTACGACTTTTAGCGGTTCCTCGCCAAAACCATCACTAATTTAGTGAGATAGCCATTTGCCCCAATAGACATGAACCTATAAACTTGTTTTTCTGGAAAATTGAAGTTCTTTCAGATTTAATATTTAATATAATAAGATAGATTGTTGCCATTGCTCGCTTTCAAATCGTTAAGTTTGTTACTCAAAAATTCATTAAAGTTTTACAAAATATGAAATCAATAATAAAACAAATTCCAAATTTGGGCTTCCACATGCTTATATTTGCAGTAGGATTATGTCATTCAAAATTCGATGGCTCTATGTGCCGTTGTTTTATCTCAATGCGAGAAATAAGCATACATTTATGCAGATTTTTCATTATTTAATTTCTTCAAACATAATGCAAGACTCTAACATTTGGTGGCAACAGTTTGAAAAGTGAAACGGATATTAATAGTGATTCAATGCAAAATTGCAAAATGAAAACAATAGTCTTTCAGGGACAAAGCTCCTTTGGACTAATAAAAAAAATAACTGTTTTTGCACTTTTCTTCAAGTAATATCTCACCATTTTCGTTCATTCTGGAGTTATATGGATGACAAAGATGTGTGAATTTCAGAATTAATTGCTATGGTAAGACAAATGAAGTACATAAGATAACAAACAGAATGATACTAATAGGCAAATAATCCATTATTTAATTGGATGGCAGCTTAAAACTTCATTATTATTTTTATTGATATTATTATTATTAAATTAAAGCATTTTTAAACAATAAACTAGAATAATAACACTAAAAGCTATTGTTCTCCATACAGCTACAGTTAAGATTGGTTTAATTTAAAATTTATCACAGTTAAAGTAATTAATACACAACAATATTTCAAAATTATCTAACTGATATGGAAAACAAAAGATTATGATAAAAGAGTTAACTCTTTGAGCTGTACTTTTTTTGAACTTATTGATGAAAAACAGTCTTTAAATAATACTCATTAGCCAGATTTATATAATTATTTATTTTACTGCTTATTTTCATTATTTCCCATTCAATGGGATAACATTTAGATTTAAAAATATAATATATAAGGAATAAAATATAAGGAAACAAAACAGTTTAAATAAGTTCATGCATACTAAATGACAAAACATTTCATGAATGGATAAAAGCAGTCATGCCAAATACAGATTTTATAAAATACAAATTACCTGATAGTTTTAAATACAATTAACTTGCAGTGCAAAATTTTACATGGTTGAATGCTGTTGTTATTACTATTTTTCCTTTTAACTGGGCATAAAACTACGAAATGATTTCATTCTCTGCTTTAACCCCTTGGGTACGGATTTATTTGAGAAAATATTTGCATGTGGAACGTATATTATTTTTGGTTCCGATTCATCAATAGCTACTTCACTATCAGCAGTATAAAGGTAACAAAATTTATTATTTAGGTAATCCACTATATTTCTAATCTTTCTTATTATGTCATCTTTATTTTCCTTTTCATTATCCGTAAAATGTAGAAAGCTTGAAATATCAAAAAACCTATCGAGTGGCATAGTGCTGGCAAAACTGGAGTATTTATTGCATATCTTTTTGACCAATACATATGCATTTTTGGCTTCTTCATTTGCGACATCAAGATGCATAATGCAATATAAGCTTTCACTTCATCAGAACTTACAGGAAACCACCTTTTTTTTTTTTTTTTTTTTTTTTTTGTTACACAGCCTTCTTTTTCTATCACTTGTCTGGCATATCTATTCGTCTCTTCTACTATCATGTCCCAAAAAAATCTTCATTCAAGACTTCTTTCAAAACATCTAAAAGCATAGGATTACCACCTAGTCTATGCAGGCTCAAAGGATTAATTCCAAATATTTCAGAAAAACTTTTTATAACGGCTACATTTTCTCTTCTTCTCATATCCATTCCTATGATACTGGTTCACAAGAAGATTCAGTATCACTGCTCGACAGACGTCTTGTGCGTCTTCGAAACCTTGGTTTTATATTACAACTGTCATCATTTTTGGTTCACGAGAAGATCCACTATCACTGTTTGATAGACGTCTTGTGCATCTTCGAAACCTTGATATTATATTACAATTGTCATCATTTTCTAGTTCAATATCGTCTTCATCACCTTCGCTTTGTATTTCATTGTAATTGTCAATTTTAAGATCACTAAACAATTCTTCTTTAGATTTCTATCACTATCATAAAATATATTCCTTGTTTTTGACATAATGACTGATACAAGCTACAATGAAATGAACAGAATTGTGCCTAACCTCAAATAATGTCTTAGACACATCATCCGCTCCTAGGGGAAAAAAGTGAATGACGTGTCTCAGACGTCAAATGTACTCAAGGGGTTAATTTTAATAATGTGGAAAGGAAAGAAGTATTTTTGGTTTTCAGACAATTTTTAACAAAGACTGACAAAGTCTTTTACATTCTTGCATATGATTTGTTATTTAAAGACCTCTTTAAATAACAAATCATATGCAAGTACGTAAATTTTAATGCTATACAAAAGCGGACTTAAATAAGAGAAACATAAATATCTGAAAATTAAATATTTAATAAAACATTGCTTTAAAATACAAAACATTACATAGTTTTAATATTTTTAGAACCTTTTTCTCACAATGTTTTGAAGAAACATTTTAACTATTTCTAAAAGTCATTAAAATTGACAGAATGTTTGTTTTTACCTTTATGCAAATTATTGAGTGTATGTCCATTTCTCTTAACAAAACATACTTATTGCAGATATGGCATTTCTCCTTCTGTAAGCCGCAATAAAGATAATGATTCCGCAGCTCAGCAGATGGTAACTGTAATTGGCAATATTCACAGAAAACCCAAGTTTCATAATTAACACCCTATAAAAAAGAAAATTAAAGAAAAATCTCAGTTGATTTTAAGTTGCTTTCTAACACACATTGTTAAAAACTTTATTCTCCCAAATTTTGAATACCTTAGGCATGGTTATGGATTGGAATAGAAAGCATTTTATATTATTTGAATGCATAAAAAAGTTTTCATTACACATATTTGAAATTTAACAGTTAAAAATTACATTCCTTTTGAACCAAATGCATTTTGTTTCTAGATCTTTTACATGCTCTTTAAAAAATGATCCCCCCCCCCCATTTTCAGCAGTTTAAAATTACTCTCTATTTCTTCCATTCAGATTGAATTTATAGCAACGTTTCTCAAACTGTTTTCCAATAGCAAACATTTTTATAAATTGAATGTTCTGCACACCATTTTAACTTGCCCCATTCAAATGTAATGTTTTTAGCATATTACATTTTTTAGCATTTATTTTTAATATATACTTACTTATATTTTTAATATACAATCAAAGACTAGTTATTTTTTTTAATTTACAATTAATCAAAATTCATTTAATTTTATATCGGTATTAAGTTAATAGAAGAAAATGTGTACTTTTGGATAACCTGCCCCTTAACTAAAAATTAAATAATTCTCGGTTCTCATATTAATGAGATAAATTAGTTTGCCTATTCTTTCACGGCTATTCTATGTTTGTATATATACTGGCTAAAAGCACCATATTGCTTTAAATCCCTCTTTTGTAGCGTCTAAAATAAATAGTAGAAAATCCAATGGCAGGATAAACATTAATAAAATTTTATAAAATCTCACTCATAAAAGCATAATAGATGATTGGTATGTGTTATTTCTACATCTGAGATTTTTTTTATTATAGAGAGGTTAGACAACTTTGACAGAGTTAATTTGAATTTTATTTTTTAAATCTTTTGGGGGGGGAATCTATAATGACCACAAGGGCAGACTTTAAGGACCACTGTTTGCAGGCCAATGACTAAGAAATACCAATTTATAGAAATTTTAGGAAAAAAGGGATGAAAATTTATCATAGAATTTAATGAAGCAAAGCACTTTTTTTATCACATTCGGCGGTATATCTGATCTTTTCATGATGATAAGAAGCAAATCAAGTTTTATACTACATTTAGATAAATGGAAGTAACATGAAGGCTATAGAATCATTTCCTGCTTTCATAGATAAAATCAACAAGAATATATTTCAGCTATGATTTGGCAAAAATCAGTAAACAACAGAACTGATGATAAAATTTGTTGAGGACAAGTATATTAAAGTGCTCAGCATTTAGAAATTCATCAGAGAAATTAATCAAAAAGCAGAATTTATATTCAAATCATTCACTCAAATTTAGTAGGTGTACATACAATTTCTATTGGGAATTGCTACCTTTTTTTAAATGAGAAGCATTTGTTTACATTTTTCCCTTCATCCCAATGGTATAATATTCTGGTTTCAGTCACTGATCAAAGTGTTTAAGTGTGTAGTAAAAGCTTAATAGAATACACTGTGAAATGCAGTAGAGTGTTTAAAAAAACTTCTCAAAATATTAAGAGCTGTGGGATGTCTGATTGGGAAAAAGAAAGCGAGTTCCTTTTTTCATTTCTTGGCCTCGAATAACCACCTTTGAGAAATTAACAACACACATAGGTGTCTTATTTTTAAACCAAAGATTTAAACATACAGGAATGTCTGTTTAATCTTGAAACATTTTAAAATAGTTTTTGCTAAAAATAAAGATGTAGATAACAGTCCAGTAACTTAAATTAATTTGTGGTGTTCATATGAATAGTCATGGATTGTCTGGGCTGATATAGAGAACCCAGAAAACTGAAAATAACAGAAATGCTGACTTCTAAAATATACAAGGAGTGAAAATGTTTCTTTCACTGGATAGAATGATCCAAAAAATTGCCATATATCTCAACTTTTTTGCTATGCTTTCTCTACTCTTTGAATCTTTTGAAAAGTAAATACGATAAAGATAGGTTCTTTGAATAAGACAAAGTGGAAGGGGACTATTTGCCCATGGATAAAAATGTCTTTATGAAGAATACGGGAAAATGGGCCCTAAACACATTACACATGGCAAAAACCATGAAAAATACTCATCTCATCAGTCTGTTCGCCTGGTTCAACCTACCTGGATTCAGCAGTGTTAACTGATGGGGTGAAGAGTATTCAGAGCTTAACCATTCTGCTACTTAAGAGGTACAGAGTAAGTAAGAATGTAAATCAAATTCATCTGTGTCAATAAATCCTGGTTATGATGGCATTAACATGAAAGAGTTCCTCGTTGACAGAAAAGACACTTTTTATTTATGTTGGTACAATGAAAAATTAAACAAAGACAACAAAAAACATATTTTTCCTAAAATATAGAGGTCTTAGAAAACTGAGTCTAAATATAGTAATACAGTTGTGAATTTTCATCTTCATTTCTGTAGGTGTTACTAGAAGAGTAAGAGAAGTTTCCTCAGCAAATGAGGCTCTGCATTTACAAAATCTTACCATACAGTATACATAATAGCAAATAAGTTACAATATAGAGTTTGATTCTAAGAATGCCAGAATTTAGAACTTCATATGAGAATGATATAACTTAAAATCAAAATGCTAGAACTTAACATCAGAATACTAGAACTTAGAAGTTTTACATCAAAAATAAATACAGTGTTTTAATTCATTTTGACATTTTATCTACATTCTTAGCAAGTACTGAAAAAGGCATCTAATTCAAGCACAGTTTCAAGATGGAATATGCCACTGAGTGTTAGAAATCCTGCAAGGTGCAACAGTGTCACATCCACACAATATAATATACATGCTCACTTACATTACGTGGATATGACTGCATTATGGCTACACTGTGGCATTTCAGATTCTGCTATTAACACTACTAGAGTTGACACAAATGTAATTTTCTTGCACTGCTGCTGAATGACTGCCAATTCGCCTTCATGGCATTACCTACTTTGAGAATGCTTTCCCGTATGATGACATCAATGCTTCCACAATGGTTAACCTATCAAAATTTGACGATCCTTAGGAATCAGCTGACACCATTCAAATAAAGTAATGTCAAACCTTCCATTCCTTATACTGCTTACATCTCTTAAAGAATATCAGCAGATCAAGCAGCATCTTTAATTGTGGATAGCACCATTAAGCACTGAGCTTGTGCAGAAAATTTCACAATAATACAGTGCCAGAAAACAGTTGCCAACTCAATAAAAGTAAGTTTTCTAACAACCTTATTCAAACCAAGTTCCTTAATTTCTAACAGTTGTTATGCAGATTAAGAATGATTTCTATCACTAGGTGTTGCATCATATGAATTCTTTTTTTCACTGGTTTTTAGATGATACATGATAAGAAAATGGAGCAAATTTCTTAACCAGTACAGTTTATTCCTAATTTAAGAACTTTAAAATAAATTTTAATTTGTCTCTTATTAAAATTGGTTATGAAGAAATAAATGTTATTAAGTTAAATGTAACAGAATATAGTTTGGACAAGCCCAAGCAAATCAAGGGGTATCTTCCTTGTAAATGAATGAAGTATGTATTTTTATTAGAAAAAATACTAAGTATCAACTTATTAAGATCTGTCAATGCAATTATTTCATATTACAGTAAATAAATAAAATTTCACCTTTTGAATCATATTTAGAATTTCTATATATCATTGACACCTGAGGGTATTTGAGAAAATTTTTTAAGCTTCTTCTTCATTATTATACTTAGGCTATTTCCACCAAGTAAAAATTTCTGCATATGAAAGTTTATATGGTATTTTCATATCTGCATTAATATAATTGCCATATGATCTCTCACCACAGCAGCACTCTAACCTGTGATGGACATGTCTGGTTTATCTCCATGATTTGAGAAAATGTGCAGCGATTTGTGGGCTTATTTCACATTGATTATTAATTTAATGTTATAAAGAAAAAAATGTTAAATAATAAAGATACATGACTTTTTTAAAAAAAATCTCTTACATACGATTAGTCATTTTTACTTAGGGCAAACTGCTATAGAAAAATTTTATTTGAAAAAAGGTGCCGTAACTCGGAAAAGTTTGGGAACCACTCACGTACACTAATCAAAAAGTACATAAATGCACATGCATAACATTAGGAAAATTTATTTAAAGAGTCCTGAAAAGAAGAGACATTTAGGAATAACTTTACATTAATTTTCCTACAGCCTTACCATCTAATAAGACAGAACTGATATCAAATTTCAGGAATTTCTCATTTGAAACAGGTAAAAAGAAAAGCGTAAAACTCTTTTTCTTCTGTTCTTGAATATAAAAGAAAAACTAATTATTTATCAAAAGATAAAAAATTGAGAACATGCATAAATTTGGCAAAAAAATTTTTATCCCTTATATGTAACGTGACTTGCAAAATGTCCTTTATTTAACACCACTCCAAGTAAATTTTTATTTTCATAACACAAAATTTCCAATAGGTCATATCGTTCAAGTTTCTTATAATGGGACCCAACTGCATTTGATCATTACAATGCATTGCAATGGGACTCAACTGCATCTGAGCTTTGATTTTGGTTTCAGGGGGAAAAATATTCAAATAGAAAAGAACCAGTATTTTCTGATTATCCACAACCCCACCAAAAAGCTGTGAAAAAGAATTTTTGCAAATAGTTATGTGGTGTATTGCTAAAACAGTTATGTGGAAATCCATACCAGAAATAATTAATGTTGCAGTCCATGTATGCACATAGTACACCTGTTCAGTCCATATATGCACATAGTACTTACCATCCATACAACATGTTCTGCAACCCTCTGAATCTTTTAATCAAAACCAAATAGCTGTGCACTGCAAAAAAAATTACAGAAGGATTTCTTGAAAACGTTAAGTAATTTAGGTTACTTTGATGCTCTAGACGTGAAAAACGAGCAATGCCCTTGCCGGGACTCTAACCTGAATCTCTCAAATACATGCCGAGTGTGCTTACCATTACACCACGAAAGAATGAAGAAAGGAGGGAGAAAAATACCTTATAATTTTATTACCAATGTTTACTGCTTTTCAATTTTACTGATTAACTGTTCTTTTATAAAATTCTTAGAGTGCTGTCATTTTGAAAATAGCTCTTGTCTTTCACAAAAAATTAGTTGTCCAGTTCCTGAACATCCCAAAATCATCAACAAATTCACAACGTTTTGGTGGAAGTGCAGATAATCAAAAATTAGCTCAAAAACTATAAAACTGTTTCACAAGCAGTTATTTTAGGTACTTATGTATTATTGCAACAACTTTGGTGGAAGTTGTCTAATTTTCAAAAATGCACCAAACTTTGGCAACCATGCACATAATGATTCTTCTGTTTTAATAAGCAGCATTGCTTTATTTTTTTAAAAATTTTATTTATTCCCCCCCCACCTAAATGTTAACAGTTTTTATATAAAAACTGAAATATTTTTTGTCTTAAAACCAACTTAAAAATTTACATGTATGAAATTTGTATGCAATGGAAGAAAACTGGAGTAAGATTTCTATAACAAAATCATTACAGAGAAACAAATGCTTGGAATCTATTTTAAAAGAACTGCCACAAAATTTCTTCCAGAACAAAAAAAAAAACAAAAACTGGTTTGTAAATAGGTTTATTGATTTATTTCCATGAAAAATACCTAATTAAAGTATAAAATACATAAGTAATAATTTTTTGCCAATATAAGTTATTATAAGCCATTGTTTTTCTTCTATAAAAAATGCTAAACTGTTCCAAGGCACTAATGCACAAATACCTTATTTTATGCTTAACTCTAGCAGTAGCACAATTGGACAGAGAATGCTGTCTTCATTAATGCTACTATCTCAATTTATGTTTGATTTCAACGACCCTTACATATAAAATCAATCTCAGTTTATGTTTTATTTTTACGACCCTTAAATATAAAATCAATGTATCAATGCATGAAAATACGTATTTAAGAAAACATGGCAAACAGACCTCAGATGAAATTTTGCTTGGAATATCATTAGTATTGAAGGAAGATGATTTAATACTATCCACCATTTCACTGGATACAAGTTTGTATGCAACATCTTCTATCCTACTTCCAGATGAGGAAGATGTGTAATTACTCAATTCTGAAACATCATTTGGTGAAGAAATAGCATTTCTGGCAATAAAACTTTTCTGAAATTAAAAAATGAATCACTAAAATTGATTACAATGTACTTTAATTACATGTAAATGCATACAGCAACACTTTACTGAAATTATAATACAAATCTTTTAAGACTGATACAAACATTTTCAAAAATAAAAAAAAAATTAAAAGCCAGAGAATAAAATTTCGAAAACAAGATTTCTACCTCTCCCTATTCTCCATACAATATTCCATTGCAGTGTTGCTTGCTTGAAGATTTTATAGGTTATATTAAAAGCTAAAGAAATCAGGTTTACTATTTTTTCATCAACTCAGTAATTTTTCTACACTCTCCATCTCCCACGTTATGGAAAATTGCCTCAATTAATGTGTTCCCAGAAAATAAATTGCTAAATGAAACAATGCTCTGAAGAATTATATTAACATACAGAAAATGCAAAAACAGAAACACAAAAATTTAAATAAACAAAGTTTACTTTAATTCTAATTTTTGCATTATACTTATATACATATACACATAAAGTGATACCATCCACTTAACCTTACAAATGATTTTTGTCTTCTATGAAAATGATAAATGTTCCCTTGGAGCAGTGATGACACGACTTATGACAGTGTCATTTAGACATTTACACCTTTCCAAATACTATATTTCACTGAACAATTTGCTTTTTGAAAACTTTTCTTCATGAAAATATTTTTTTGGAAAGTTAAGCTTTTCTCCTCTTGTTCACATTCTGCAATACTTTTAAAAAGTAATCCTCTGAAATTCTTCAAGGGATTTACCATGTATACTTGCATATAAATGCTACTTTGTAAAAGTTGAGGTTTGATTTTGTCATATAATTTATGGTATGATAATTTAAAAAGTCAAATGGAAGGGAAAAAAAACCTGCACCCCTGAAATTTGTATTAAGTTTGTTTCAAATGCACGGTTTCGAATTGAAACTACTAAAATCATATACATAGTGCAGAATTTCAAATGCAAGGCACAGAGGATGAAATATTATGGGCTAATGAGAAGCAAGCACATAAACTCAGTTGAAAAATCGAGATTTCTATAATGAAATGGTAAATAACACATGAGGTTTCAGTTCAGAAGATAATGATTACAAATGATAAATTCCGAGTAAAAGTTAATTTTTCATTTATTTTCTAAAGTAACGACGGTATTCACCTAAAATCGCACGAAAAATTTTAAATGTTACATTTTGAATATGCATATTAAGATTAGATTTTACAACCGATTTTTCACAGCCCACAAGTAGCCAAAAAGTAAAATCACTAGACACCAATATTTCGACCTAGGTTTACATCTCCATGAATGCTCTAATGACATGGAAATTTTTGTGGTTTTTTTCCCCTATGTATAATGTAAATACAACATAGTTTCCCTCAGAAAGTCATCTATGAAGGCATTTCACTTTTCAAGCAGATAATCCTTACATGTGTTACCATAATGAAATAAGCTAAATCAAAATGATTTTTGGGTTTATAGACTAACTTACTTCCATGCGTATACAGTAATTTCACTGTTGATTTTTTAAGGAATTCTTAGTACATTTCTTCAGATATGCACACCTATTTATGTGTATGAACAGCTGTGTAATTGTTAATGTGCACGATACCAAATCTGTGCCTGATGCTAATTTCATGCAAATGTCTACTTTTGTGAAGTGAAAACAGATCACTGCATACATCAGAATTAGAGCAATACATTTTCATTAGACAAAATATCAGAAAATTACAAAGAATGTTCTCCCAGTTAACACGATGATTTGTTTTCACTTGGGGAAAAAAATCACAGATTTGCAAAAATTCAGCAAAATATATATATATATGATGTATGAGTGTTATTAAAAGTTCATCTTTTTCATGAAACTTTACATAGGGTTGCTGCTATCAAGTTTTATAAATTAATATTTTTGAAGACCTTGTGAGTTCTCAAAAACCCTCAAAAACCTTTACCTAGAGAGCATAGTTATTTTATTTTTTAACATACTTCTAATCCCACAAGAACATTTTATCACCCTATCAAAAGGCATAATTCAACTAAGTTACAAAATCCAGGACTACTTATAAAATGTAAGAATTTTCTGGGCTATATTCTAAAGTAGGACCCCACAATGAAATATGGGACTATCCCTATCTGTTCAGTTTATCACAGAAGTAAATTCTTTGACAACAATGGAATTTACATTCAGACTATAGAGTTTTGTTCGCATAATGCACAAGCAAGCTGGTTTCAGATTACAAACTTTGCCTCGAAGAGTTTACCACTGAAATTTAAAAGTATTCTTAAATACAGAAAATTTGTTTAAATTTAACAATTAATCTTCAAATATCTAAAACAACTTTCAGTTAATCATTAGCTTACTAATTTAAGAATTAAGGGGATGAAAATTCAGCATATTAACTCATTAGCATTTATAATATGTTTTTATGAATAGCAGTGCCCTAGGGACTGCACAAAATAATGGTTTCAGATTATTCCCAATCTCAACAAAAACTCACATGCACATTGACTTTATGAATTGCTGGAAAACTTTTTACTGATATTTATTGTTTCAGGTTTGGTTTACTTCATTATTGTAGAGAACGGTGCTATCTGCCTATGATGAAGATGCCTTCGTGGAGCACTTTCTAAGCTAAACTGCCTCATATACACTTACACATGAGGAAAATCTCGAAAACAGCCATGCAGCCCACCCATTCGCCTGGATTCAAACCCAGTTCGAAACTACTAGCGCTACGCAATTTTAACGCTCCGCTCTGGTTGGCCAATACTTATGGCTCACAGGCATAGAAGAATGAATGATGAACTTCTTATGAAGAATATTAAAAAGAAGCATTCATATTTCTCTAAAAAGCACTGCATAAGAAATATAAAATTTTTGTTTCCTAAAAACATTTTATAACAACAAGAAAATCCATATGTACTCAAATATGTTTGTGATTCACACAATGCATGATTTGGCTGTTAACGTTCGTATACTCGAAAATATGCAATAAAAGGAGCAATTCTATTGAATGTTGAAACCAGGGAGGTGGATAATCATAAAATCAAAAAAAAAAAAAAAAAAAAACCCTTTTAAATTACTTCACAACTATCATCATGAAACTTATACTCTTATTTAATAAAAAAAAAAAAAAAAAAAAAAAAAGAATTAATTATTCAAAATACAGCTTTGCATTTGTTTTACCAGTCTGCTTGTGTACAAGACCTGCAACAAATTTTCCCCTCAACTGCTAGCACATTTCATTTTTCTAGGATGCAATACTCATGCGCTGAAACAACAAATACAGTACACAATTTGAAATCCAGACTCATTAGGACTTCGGCAATTCCAGATTTGGGATTTTTCTCGATATCTTCCGGATTATCAGTTCTATTAGTATGATCTAGTAAGATGACATGTAGAAATTATAATATTAAAAATATGAAATACCGCTTTGTGAAATAATAAAGTGTGGGTGGCTGGCGCAGTAGCGCTTCTGACTCTGTACAATGATTAGTACATTTGTGAGGTTGCATAATACTTAACTGCATTTCTTAACTCAAAAACACATATTTATTACAATTACGAGAAGCTTTTTACACATATATATTTCATGAATAGCATATAGTCCATGGATAGCACAGAAGTAGGATAGTGAAGTATAGTCCTCATGATGTGAGAAACCACTAATGAGAGTCTCTCTAGTAGAGTTCAAAAGCATTCTGGCATGTTGTTTTGTTGGAAAAAAATTACAGATTGAATCAGCGACACCTCCTTTGTTACTTATATTACTTTCACTGTTAATTGTTTAAATTGCTTTTTTTATAGTAATATTTACTCTTTAATTCTCTTGCTGCATATTCCGTGATTTCCCTGGGCAACGTAGAAGTAGCAACATTTGCGCAACATGCAATTTCCGCTGGGATGCATTTTTTTCCATCTATTTAATTGTGCAACCCACTCTTTTTCCATTCATGGTGTTTCATTTCGACTTTTCTGTGATGTATAATTGTTTATTCAGGTCTGGGTTTACAGATGGCATTATTTGTCCATATTTCGGCGAAATATACAATCCATTTGCACTATTCTGCATGCTCTTTTCAAAGCTCAAAGATGTCTGGCAGGAAGTGTTTTGCGACTGATATAATCTACATTCCCGACAATATTTCTGACACTAATAGCAGTTCTAACTCTTGATTTCAAGTATGTTAAAGATAATTATAGCAAAACAATGAGAATTTCTCGGATTCCTGCATGGATAGTGATAAATCTGAAGGTTCATATTCAAAATGTTCAACAACAATGCAAAATTGATATGCAAAATATTCCACCAGCTCTTGCTTCATTTCCTTTTCTTGGCAATCACTGTGGAATGCTTATATCCTTTATAAAAAGGATACGTCACTGCAAAACATAATCATTCTAGAATTCCATTTGTAAATTACTGAGCAAAGCACTTGAAGGAAATTTCAGTGTTTACCCTGGTAGATGTAGTTCAATTCTCAATCCCATGAGATTAACTGCGCGACATTTTGGTAGCCATATAACCTCCAATCCCATCAAGAAAGAGCCTCGTAGACAGTGTGCTGTTTGTTGCTAAAAAAATGAAACTGGCAAAAAAATTTGCAAAGAACCACGAGATAGGAATTTGCCACGAGCCTTGTTATAATACTGAACTTCATTTCTAATAAATATTTTGTAAGAATTTTGCATAATTTCATTAGTATATACATTTTACCTTTGCATTTCATGAAATAAATCACAATTTAACCAAGATTAATCTTCAAAATTTTGCTTTTATATGATTATTCTTCAATTTTAATTTTTTGACAACCTTTTTTCTTATGTTATAATTCCATACTGGAAAAAAAAATCCCTTTTACAAAACAAATTTTGTATATTTTAACTCTAAAATATATGCAGATTTGAAATATGTAATAAAAAAATGATGCAATTTTTTAACCCATTTTGATAAAAAAAATTATGCAGCGAGAGGGTTAATTTTATGGCTAGACACAATTTTTTGT